TACGAGGACTATCTGCGGCACCTGATCGGCCACGAAGGTGGCGATCGTGACGAGTTGCTGGTGTTTGCCTGATGCCAGCAGGTTATGTGGTGTACGGCGGCGAACTGAGTTTGTTTACCCGCAAACTCGAAGCGGCTTTGCAATTCTACGGCGCAGACTTTTCCGTCGAGGCGAAAACTCAGGATAACGCTGAAGTGATTGAGCACCGCTCTGGCACTCATCAGGTGCCTGTGTTGTTAACACCAGAAAACTGGATGATTGGCGACACAACGCCATTGTTGGAATTGCTGGATAGCCGCTTCCCACACCGGGCGATGTTCCCCCCAGGGGAAATGGGTGTGCTGGTGCACGTGCTTGAAGAGCATTTTGACGAGTGGATCGCACGCGTCATGGTGCACTATCGCTGGCACTATCCGGACAGTGCGAAGTTCGCTGCGCAGCGCATGGCCAACGGCAATCCAGCGGTTGCCCAGCGCATGCTGGACTGGGGCCCTAGAGCATGTCGTGCCACTGGCACAGACTCCACCCAACAACGCGAAGCAGCAGAAGCGGAATACCTGCGTATTCTTGAGGCCGCAGAGGCGCAACTGGATCAAACAGCGTTTTTATTAGGGGACCGCCCTACCGCTTTGGATTGTATTGTCCTCGGCGGATTACGCGCGCATACCAATATGGACCCTGACCCCAAAAGGGTTACAGCTCAATTTCCAACCGTCGTCGATTGGGCGGAACGCCGAGCTTCACGGTGGGACGGTACAGGTGAATTAGCGCCTTTCGATGCGCCCACTGATTTTGCCGGACATATTCTGGGAGAAATGGCCGCAACCTATTCTCGATATATCCTGGCTAATCGCGACGCTCAGCGGGTCGGCGCAAAAGCCTTTCACGTGGATATCTATGGCGAAGATGTCAGCTATCTGTCTCGACCCTATCCGGAAGCGGCGCGCAAAATGGTGGTTGAGCGCATCAGGAAACTGGATACCAAGGGACACAAGCGTGTTCAGGCAATGCTCAATAAAGCAGGATTGAGAGAAGCCTTTGGTTGAGACGCGGTCACAGATCTGCTGCACTCGCTTGTAAAGGTATCCATGGCGTTTGTTGGCTTTTCAACCATCGTGGCCGCGCTTTCCACTACCCAGCACCTCCTAAGGGTCCGCCAAAGACATTGTCCGGATCATATTTTGTCTTGATCGCAGCCAGTCGCTCCCAATTGGGTCCGAAGCCCGCTTGCGTACGTGCCGCCTCGTCGCGATCGAGGTAATTAAGATAGACCGTCCCATCGGAGAATCGCATCAGTTTCTCGGCGATGGTGCGGGTCGCGGTCACCGCCGCTTCGTCCATCGCGGGATCAACCCAGCCGGTCGAAACGCCAAGGTTCCAGCGTGCCTTGCGATTAGAAAAAGCGGTTTCGGTCACGCCGATGCGCCCCACCGCCCCACCCAGGGCTTCCATGAAGATCTGCGTATATTCTCCGGGGATAGTGCGGATACCCTCGAGCAGCACATCCACCAGATCATCTGACAAGTCATCCACAAAGATCGACTTCCAGTAATAGCGCCCACCCTTTGGGCTGGCATCAGCAAAGGTCTTCTGGAATTCAACATAGGGCTGAGTGTCGACAAAGCCGAAGATCAAGTCCCCGAGTTCGAGGCAGGGCTCAAGTTCGTCGCGCGCCTTTGCTGCTTTGCCCGTGTGGCAACCGACCATCGCAATGGCATGCTGACCGTGAAATTCTGCTGGAAAAGGCGCGACCGGCGGAACTTTGAGCATGGCCGGGACGAGACCAAAATCATCGCTGGCCTCCTGCATCGTATTCCTGAGGAAGCGCATGACATCATGTGCCTTCTCGATCGGATACCACGCCTGCCCCACGACCACCTCCGGACCAACCGGATGCAGCACGAAATCGAAACGAGTTACAATGCCGAATTGTCCACCACCGCCGCGTAGTGCCCAGAATAGATCGGGCAACTCTTCTTCGCTTGTATCTACAATCGATCCGTCCGCCAGCACCACCTGTGCACTCACAAGGTTATCAATCGTCAGCCCCAGCTTGCGAGCAAGAAAGCCGATGCCGCCGCCCAATGTAAGCCCGCCCGCGCCCGTGCTCGGCTCGACTCCGGCGGTGACGGCAAGGCCGTGCGCCTGAGTCGCCACATCGAGATCGCCCAATAGCGCGCCACCACCAACCTGCGCGAACTGGCGCTCCGGATCGACTACAATGGATTTCATCAAAGCAAGATCGACCATTAAGCCATCTTTCGGAAGCGATGCACCTGACACCGAATGCCCGCCTCCGCGCGCGACAGCGGTCATGCCATGGGAGGCTGCGTGTCTGACAGCGAGGGACACATCCTCTGCATTTTCACAGCAGGCAATCCAAACCGGACGACGGTCTATCATTCCGTTCCAGCCCATGCGTGCGGCATCGAAATCGACGTGCTTGGCGTCGATGAGTTGTCCTGCAAATCCCTCAATCATGCTATCACTCCCTCTTTCAGCGCAGGCTAACGTGTCCGATCTCGGTAAACGCAGAGCAAAACCTCTTGAAAATAGGCGCTTTGATATCTAATTTCGACGACTCAGCTCCAGTGGCACTTTGACCACTAAGACCTGCGCCTGGGGCTCTACCCCTAACTGCGCAACAGTCGCCCTGGCACAGCGCCACTATGCTCATTATCAGTGAGCAATATCTGGCCATTCACCAACGTATGTTTAATGCCATCAGCCGTTTGCTTCAGACGTTTTGCGCCGGCAGGCAGATCGTGCACAATCTGTGGCAGCCGCGCACCAATGGTTTTCGGATCAAAAATCACCACATCAGCTGCCATACCTTCACGCAGCAGACCACGATCATGTAATCCCCACATGGTAGCGGTGTTGTAGGTAATCTGACGAACGGCTTCCTCAAGCGACAGCGCCTGCTTTTCGCGCACCCAGTAACTCAGCAGGTGTGTTTGCAGCGAGCTGTCCATAATCTGCGCCACATGCGCGCCGGAGTCAGAGAAAGTCACCACTGAACGCGGGTGTTTCATCATCTCCAGCACATGGTCCTGATTTTCGTTGGCAATCGGCTGACGGAAAAAGATCTTAAAATCGTGCTCCAGCGCCATATCAATCATCAGCTCAACCGGGTTCACACCTTTGGCACGGGCTAACTCTGCCATCGAAGGCTGGTCATAGACCATGTCGCTCATGGGATACACAAAATCCCATTCCGGCGGACGTGGTTCTGCGCCAACAACTTTTGGCCCGGTGTATTCGCGATTGGCAATTTCCACCAGCTTGGCTTTGAGGGCGGGATCGCGCAGTTTGACTTTCTGCTCTTCCAGCGGCAGCGCGCGGATATCGGACCACAACTCCCACTTATCAAATGGCGTGTGACTCTCAAACGACAACAATGTATTTAAGGCGCGGCTGTGTACCTGAGCATACATACGCCCGCCCGCCTCGGCTGTTTCGTCCAGAAGATCAAAATAGGGTCGCCAGAGTTCAGGCGCAACGCGCACACTGAACATACCCCAGGTTTGAGTAACGCCGGATTCAACCGATAGATCTCTTAAACGATTATGATATTCACGAATGCGTTCGGGGTTACGGCCCGGTGCTTCACCGGCAATTTCAAATACACCTTTACCCGTTTCACCCACCGCGTTAACGATGCCGCGCACTTCATCCCAGTGCGCGATGCGGCTGGCAACCGGGCGATCGTCCGCGGTGATGTGATTGAAGGTGCGCGAGGTTGAGAAGCCAATTGCACCCGCCTGCATCGCTTCTTTCACCAGCGCCTGCATGTGTTTCAGATCATCTTCGCTGGCCTGTTCACTGAACGCCCGCTCACCCATGGTGTAGGTACGCAGCGCCGAATGGCCAATGTAGCCGGCATAGTTGATGCCTTTAGGCAGGCGATCTACCGAGTCGAGAAACTGTGGAAAGGTCTCCCAGGTCCAGTCGATACCCGCTAGCATGGCATCGCGAGATAAGTCTTCAGCGCGCTCCAAGTTGCGGAAGACCAGATCCGCATCTTCCTGCTTGCAGGGTGCCAGGGTGAACCCACAGTTGCCCATAACCACACTGGTCACACCGTGGTAACACGAACAGGAGCCGATAGGGTCCCAGAATACCTGTGCATCCATATGGGTATGGCCGTCTACAAACCCCGGGGACACCACGTGACCCTCGGCGTCTATCGTTTGCCGCGCCGGGGCATTAATTCGACCGATCGAAGCAATTTTGTCACCCTGAATGGCAAGATCTGCCCGATACCCAGCGCCGCCGGACCCATCTACAATCAAGCCGTTTTTAATCACTACGTCGTACATCAAAGCGCCCTCGTTAACCCTCGAGCGCTGAGTCTAACACCGCACAAACACATTGTGCTCCAGGTCTTTACGGACTTTGTCCGCTGCAAAAACCTGGCCGTTCATCACGATATAAACGCCTGGAGGCAGGGTCTGGACTGCCGCAAACGCCATGCCGACATTAAAAGTGGCGTCACTTTTAGCAAACCTGGCCGGGGAGAGCGCACCAGTGAGCACAATGGTCTTCTCTCGCGCCTGCAGACTTTGCGCTGTCAGTGTCATGGTGTCGGTGCCATGGGTGATCACCACACAACGCTCTGCGCAGGCCTGGACTGCCTCGGCAATTACCTGTCGATCCGCATCCACCAGTTCAAGAGAGTCTTTACGCATGACTTCTTCTAATCGATGAGGGGCGTCAACGTGTGCCTCTTTAAGTAACTCCAGAACCACCGAATCGCCTATGGCAAATTCACTGCGGGCGTCAAAATAAACTTTGTCTATGGTGCCGCCGGTTGTCAGTACAGCCACTGCTTCTGTCTGAAGTGCAGACATGTCATTTCACCACGCTAATCGCTAATTTCATGAAGCTGGCCATGGTAGCATGCGCCCCTGTTGCCAAGTCTCCCGGAGCCTAACCAGAGCGTGCCCGCAGCTAAACTTGCTTACACCGTACATCCTGGCCAGGGGCCTTACCTTGGCATGGTGCACGGCTTCTTATCCAGCTCCCGCCAGTGGAATCACAACCTGCTGGCGCTTAGCCGTGTCTGCCGACCTGTGACCATCGATTTGTGGGGACACGGGAAATCGCCGAGCCCGGAGGATGACAAAGCCTACCACCCGGATCACTACGTCGAGGCACTGGAAGATATTCGCCTGGCGCTGGGTGCAGAGCAGTGGCTTGTATGCGGTTATTCCATCGGTGCAGCGCTGACCATTCGCTATGCCCTGGCAAAACCCGAACACGTCATTGCCCACATCTTCACCAATTCGAGCTCAGCCTTTGCCGATGAAGAACAGGTGGCCAAGTGGCGCAGTGAAGCGGCTGAAAGTACTGCGCGCATCCATAAAGATGGCCTTAAAGCTATCTCACGCATTCCGGTGCATCCCCGTTTTGCAAAAAGACTGCCGCCAGACATCTACGCAACGCTCATGGAAGATGCTCAGATCCTTTCACCCACAGGCATTGCACACACGCTGACTCATACAACACCCAACGCCAGCATTCGCCACCTCGCCGGCAACAACTCAAGACCTGCGTTGCTGGCTTATGGACAACTTGAATCCCGCTTTACAGATGCCAGGAACTGGGCTTCTGAACACATGCCGAATCTGACGGTGGTTGAGCTGCAGGCGGGACATGCAGTCAATATGGAAGACAGCGAAGGTTTCAACAAAGCCATAATAAAGTTTGTGAAAACACACGCGTCATGACCCATATCGTTGATACCCTCATCGAAGAACGCGCGGTCAAGCTGCGCCAGCACCCGTTCATCTGGAAGTTGATACAGGAATATCTGTACCCGGTTTTTGGCTATCAGACGACCATAGACCTCGTTGATGAAGTTCAGGGTTTGAGCGGCTATGAGGTATTTGAGCACGTCAGCAAGCTGCTCGGCATGAAAGTCACCGTTGAGGGATTACATCACTTACCCCAAGACGGACGCACCGTTGTCATGCCTAATCACCCAGCAGGTATCGCGGATGGTCTGGCAGTGTTTGACGCCATTAAAGCGATTCGTCCGGACATGAATTTCTTTGCCAACCGGGATGCCGTGCGCTGTCAGGAAAATCTGAGCGAAATCATCATCCCGGTTGAGTGGATGGAGGAAAAACGCAACCACAGTAAAAGCAAAGAAACCCTGCGTAACATGTTACGCGCGGTGAAAGACGAACGTCTGATTGTCATATTCCCCTCAGGCCGACTGGCACGCCCGACCCCCATCGGCCTGGTCGAGCGAGAGTGGCTGGTATCAGGTGTGAGCCTCGCGCAGAAGTACAACTGCCCCATCGTGCCTATGCACATCAAAGGTTATAACAGCACGTTGTATTACCTGCTCTGGTTTCTGAATTCAGAATTGAAGGACATGACACTGTTCAGAGAGATGCTGAAAAAATCAGGCCAGCGCTACCACATTCAGATCGGCGAGCCGATAAAGTCAGATATTGAAGCGACGCTGTTAACGCCAGCCCTGCGCAAGTACGTTACCCAGGACCTCAAGCGCGGCGTCACGCGCTTTGTCGAACCCGCCTCGTAAAAATCACAACGGATTGACTTCCCCCATAGTTGCGATAGCTTAAGCACAGGTGGGGAGACCTTATGAATCAGACGATGCGACTGGCGCAGCGGATCTGCGGTGCCAACTATGCCAACATGCCTTCCAGCGCGCAGCTGGCCTGCAAACACGCGCTGCTGGATTATATTGGCGTGACCATCGCCGGCATGGAGGAGCCGCTGGCCCGCATTTTACGCGCAGATGCGGCTGAACAGGGCGGTCATCCACAGGCCTGTGTATTTGCCACTAATGAGCGTGTAGCTACCCAACAGGCCGCGCTCATCAACGGCGCTGCAGGCCACGCCCACGACTACGATGATGTACAGCTGGCCATGTCCGGACATCCTACCGTGCCCGTCGCGCCGGTGGTTTTTGCTCTGGCGGAACAGCACAAACTCAGCGGGGCGCAACTCATCGCCGCATTTTCGGCGGGTGTGGATGCAGAGTGTATTGTCAGTCGGTACGCCGGCACTTCTCACTATCAGCAGGGTTGGCACGCCACCGGCACGATGGGTTGTTTTGGCGCCGCCGCTGCCGCAGCGTCAATGCTCGGGTTGGACGACATCCAGACCGCCAAAGCGCTGGGCATTGCGGGCACTCAGGCCGCTGGCCTGAAAAGCCAGTTTGGCACCATGTGTAAACCATTCCATGCCGGCCATGCGGCCGCCACAGGGCTGCAGGCAGCAAACCTCGCTGCAAAAGGGTTCAGCAGCCGCACCGATATACTGGAAACCCAACAGGGGTTTTTAGACACCCAAAGCAGCAGTACAGACGCCGCAAAATTTGAAGCCGCCATGCAGCAGCCGGCATATGCCCAGGACATCTGTTTTAAATATCATGCCGCCTGCTACATGACGCATTCGGCTATAGAAGCGACGCGCGAGCTGTGCGCGCAGAACGCTTTTGATCCTAATAAGATTAAACACGTTGAAGTGGCGGTCGATGAAGGTCACCTGCGGGTCTGCAATATTGTCCAGCCCACCTCGGGCTTGGAAGCCAAGTTCTCTCTGCGCTTCACCGTGGCCATGGCACTGGCCGGCGTCGACACATCCAGCATTGATATATTCACAGACGAACTGACTCAAGAGCCACAACTGATCGCGTTTCGCGACCGGGTTTCTGTGGTCACACATCCAAGTCCCGATCCAGCCACGATAGTCACAATCACCACCGACGATGGGCAGCACTTCCAGCAAGCCACCAACGTTGGCATCCCCATGCGCGACCTGGATGCCCAGTGGCAGAAACTGGAGCACAAATTCCGCAGCCTTGTGACACCCCGACTGGGACTGGCGCGCACTGAAAAAATCATCGATCTGTGCCGGCACCTTGAGAGCCAGAACAACCTGATCGACCTCTTCAACGTCCTAACCATCTATAAGGATGCGCCTGCTCATGAGTGAGACCGATTTCAGAAGCCAGGCTGTCACCCAGCACAAAGGCAACCGCTTCGAAGACATGACTGTCGGGCGCATATTCGAACACCATTGGGGGCGTACCCTGAATGCCGGTGACAACTCCGCGTTCACCACCCAGACCTTGTCTTTCTGCCCCCTGTACTTCAATGAACCCTATGCGCAGTCGTTAGGACATGAAAAAATCCTGGTTAATCCGATGCTTGTATTCAACACGGTCTTTGGTTTATCAGTCGAAGATCTCAGCGAGGGTGGCGGCCCTTTCTTAGGGGTTGATCAGTGCCATTTCAAAGACGACGTCTACGTCGGCGACACCCTCACCGCCCGCAGTGAGGTGGTCAGCGCGCGAGCGTCCAAAGGCAATCCGCATTTTGGCATAGTGACCTGGCATACAGAGGGTTTAAACCAGCACAACACGCTAGTGGTGTCTTTCCAACGAACCAATCTGGTACGCCGCAGAAAAGCGGCGCAATAGATCAACCTGAAGGCTTAAACATGTCGTTAACAGGCAACAACAACTATTTCGAAGACTTCGAGATTGGCACTGTGATGAAACACGCTCGTGGCAAAACCATGTGTGAGCAGGACAACGTGGGTATCACACTGCAGGTTCTGAACACCGCCGAAGGCCATTTTAACGAACACCTGATGCAGCAGAATGCTATGGGCCGGGATGGCTGGAACTCGCGCCTGCAATTTGGCGGCGTGACGATTTCCATGATCATCGGTTTGTCGATGCAGGATACCGGCGAAAATGCCCTCAAAGAGCTTTCCCTTGATGCAATTCGCCTGAAAAACCCGGTTTTTCACGGCGATACGCTCTACGCCTATACAGAAGTGTTAGGAAAAGAAGAGCCTGATCGAGAAGATGCCGGCATTGTTCAATTCAAACACTGGGGCGTTAATCAGGACGATAAAGTAGTGTTCGAAGGTGAGCGCCGCGTGCTGATCAAAAAACGTCCCGCAGACTTAATATAGATAAAAGGTCCCATAGCCATGTCAAAACAACCCGCTCGTCCACGACGATGCCAGCTATCCGTCCCCGGCAGTTCAGAAAAAATGATGGCCAAAGCGGCTGCACTTGAACTGGACCACGTATTTCTCGACCTGGAGGATGCCGTTGCCCCCAGCGCCAAGCCGGACGCACGCGGTAAAATCGTGGAAGCGCTGAACACCCACGACTGGCGACCTCGCACATTGTGTGTGCGCATCAATGATGTAGAAACCCAGTGGTGTCACGACGATATTATTGAAGTGGTCACCGGTGCTGGAGACAAACTGGATACCATCATGTTGACCAAGGCCAAAAGCGCCGCGGATGTGCGCTTCCTGCACCTGATGCTCGACCAGCTGGAACAGAAACTCGGCCTGACCCGACGTATAGGCATTGAATGCCTGATTGAAGAAGTGGAAGGCATGATGAATGTGGAAGAAATTGCAGCCTGTAGCGATCGGTTGGAATGCCTGATTTTTGGCATGGGTGACTACAGTGCCAGCCAGCAGATGCAGCTGTCTTCAGTTGGCAGCACCGGCGGCTATCCACCGGACATCTGGCACTATCCACGGTACAAAATGACCATCGCCTGCCGTGCTAACGGCATTGATCCGGTCGACGGCCCTTTTGCCAATTTTAAAAATCCGGACGCATTCCGCAAAGAAGCCGAGCGATCCCTGATTCTCGGCATGGTGGGCAAATGGGCCATTCATCCCAGCCAGGTTGAGATCGCCCAGGAGGTCTTTGCACCCACAGCCGATGACGTGGCTAAAGCACGCAAGCAGAAAGAAGCTTACGATGCCGCGCTGGCAGAAGGTTTAGGTGCAATCAATGTAGATGGCGTCATGGTCGATGCCGCGAGTATCCGCATTGTGCAGAACACCATCGATCGCGCCGATCTGATCGGCATCTGATTTAACCAAGAGCACCCCTATGTCTGCACACTATCTCACCGAAGAACGCCTCATGATCCAGGAGGTTGCGCGGGAGTTTTCCCTCAAAGAAGTGCTGCCTGTTGCTAACGAACTGGATCCCGTACAAGGCACCATCCCCATGGATCTGCGCCGGAAAATGGGTGACATGGGCTACTTTGGCATTCGTATGCCGGAAGAGCACGGCGGCATGGGCTTAGGCGTCTTCGAGTATTGTCTGATCGCCGAAGAGCTGGCCAGAGGTTGGATGAGTGTGGCCAGCATCATTGCCCGTGCATCTTCGCTGATGGCGGTGGGCGGCTGGCCGGAAGCTAAACGCCGGGAATTAACTGCTCGCGCCGCGCAAGGCGATTATCTGTGTGCCGTCTCGCTGTCCGAACCCGACGTGGGCAGCGACCTGGCTGCGGTGAGCTGCAAAGCTGTGCTGGACGGTGACGAGTGGGTCATTACGGGTAACAAATACTGGTGTACGTTTGCTGACCAGGCTGACTATATCAATCTGTTAGCCCGTGTTGAGGCACCCGCCGAAGAGGCTCGCTATACCGGCCTGCGCTCTTTTATCATAGAAAAGCCACGCGGCGAGCTGCCCAGAGGCTGTCAGGGCGCTGCGATTCCTAAAATTGGTTACTTTGGCTGGAACACCTTCGAACTGGCCTTTGACGGCTGCCGAATTCCAAAAGAAAACATCATTACCGGCGGTGGCGGCGAAGGTTTCAAAAGCACGGTGAACATGCTGAACGCAGCCAGAGCCCATACTGCAGCGCGTTCCATTGGTCTTGCCCGTGGCGCCCTGGAAGATGCTTCCGCCTACGCCCACGAACGGCAGCAGTTCGGCGTGCCGATTGCCGATTTCCAGGAAACACGATTCAAGCTGGCACGTATGGCCAGCGAAATAGAGGCGGCGCGCGCTTTGATGTACGACGTCTGCACCAGAATGGATGCCGGCCAGACCTGTGACAAAGAAGCCGCCATGTTGAAATGGTTCGCGGCAGAAATGGCCGAACGGGTAACTTCCGATGGGCTGCAGATTCTTGGTGGTGCGGGCTACACCAAACTACATGCGGTCGAACGCTACTGGCGCGACGCACGCCTGACCAAAATATTTGAAGGCACCAGCGAGATTCAGCTGCGCATCATCTCTGACCGGCTGCTGGGCAAACCCACCCAACGCGCCAATGCATGAGTCAGTTCATACAACTGGTTGACGAGATCAGCCGCTGTACCTTGTGCGCTGAACATCTGCCTCTGGGTCCCAGACCGGTTATCCAGGCTGACCCCGCCGCTCGGATTCTCATTGTCGGCCAGGCACCAGGCACGGCAGTGCACAAAACCGGCATCCCTTTCAACGACCCCAGCGGTGATCGCTTGCGCACCTGGATGGGCGTGGACCGCGACACTTTTTACGATCAGAAAAAAATTGCCCTGGTACCTATGGGGTTCTGTTACCCGGGCAAAGGTAAAGGTGGTGATTTGCCCCCTCGCCCAGAATGCGCGCCCGCCTGGCGCGAACGACTACTCGGACAGTTAGACAACATTGAGCTGACCATTGTCATGGGACGCTACGCCCTGGCCTGGCACTTGAACATACGCCCGAGCCAGACCCTGAACGCTGTGGTTGCCAACTGGCAGCAGTATTGGCCTCAAGCGCTTCCCCTGCCTCACCCCAGCCCGCGTAATTCCCAATGGCTGCAGAAACATCCCTGGGTAGAAGAAGACATCATCCCGAAGCTGCAACAACGCATTCGTACCTTGCTTAACAAAGGCGGCGCCACGTAGACTCGAAGGCTACTACCTGGGAGCAACTGAACGTCGTGACAACGCAACCTAGCGCCACCACTCTGGGCGAACTCAAAGCCAGCGGCTATAAACCACAGCCTGTTAAAGAAGAAATCCGCAAAAATCTGATCAGCAAGCTGACCCGAGCTGAGCCTTTATTCCCAGGCGTTGTGGGCTATGAAGATACAGTTGTGCCACAGATCACCAACGCCATTCTCGGTTGTCAGGATATTATCTTCCTTGGCGAGCGCGGTCAGGCCAAGTCGCGCATCGCCCGCTCTTTGGTGTCGTTACTCGATGAGTGGAGCCCGGTGATTGCCGGTACCGAAATCCCGGAAGATCCGTTAGAACCGATCACCAAAGCCGGCAAAGACCTTATCGCGGAACACGGTGACGCAACGCCTATTGCCTGGCTGCATCGCGACGAACGTTACGGCGAAAAACTCGCCACTCCGGACATCACCATCGCGGACATCATTGGCGAAGTAGATCCTATCAAGGTTGCTGAGGGCCGCTACCTGTCCGATGAACTGACTTTGAGTTACGGCCTGGTGCCGCGGATGAACAAAGGCATTTTTGCCATTAACGAGCTACCGGATCTGGCCGAGCGGATTCAGGTGGGTCTGCTGAATCTGTTAGAAGAACGTGACGTGCAGATTCGCGGTCACAAAGTGCGGCTGCCTGTGGATGTGTTCATCCTGGCCACCGCAAACCCCGAAGACTACACCAATCGCGGACGCATCATCACGCCGCTTAAAGACCGCTATGGTGCCCAGATACGCACCCACTACCCCGAACACATCGAACAGGAAATTGCGATTGTCGAGCAGGAAGCCAACGTGCTGACCATGCCGGGCGTGGACGTGCATGTGGCGGATTACATGAAAGAGATTATCGCCGAGGTCACCCATCATGCACGGCGCTCACCAGATGTGAACCAACGCTCCGGTGTATCGGTACGCGCATCTATCGCAAACTTTGAAGTGCTTGTCGCCAATGCGTTTCGCCGCGCGCTCGTGCTCGGCGAAAAAGAAGTGGCGCCGCGGATATCTGACCTTGAGTACATTGCGCCATCTTTTCAAGGCAAAGTGGAATTTGAAGCCATGGAAGATGGACAGGAAGATAAAATCACCAACCGCATTATCCAGGCTGCGACCAAAGCTGTATTCGATCGCACTCACGATCTGCAGGACCTCGCCCCTGTTATCGAGGCGTTCAACAACGGCCTCAGCATTGAAATTGGCGAAGCGGTTTATGCCGAGGATTACAGTCAGATCATCGACAAAATTCCAGGCATGAGCGAACGCATCACCGCCACCACACCTGGCACACGAGCAGCAGAAGTTGAATTCCTGCTCGAAGGCCTGCATCTGAACAAACTGCTTAATAAATACGCGGTGTCCGGCCGCTCAACCTACACAGGATAAACGCCATGGCTCCTTCGCGCCGACAACGTTACTCCGCCTGGGACGGCTCCCAACAATCAGCCTGGGATGCTGAAGAGGTCATGAAAGCACTGGCTGAGGACCTGATGGAATATGGCGACCTGCGCTGGGCCATGCGTAACCTTGTTTCCCGCGGTATGCCCATTCCCGAAGGTGGTTATCTGGAAGGTTTGCGCGACATGATCCGGCAATTGCGCGAACAGAAGCAGCGCCAGCTCAACCGATTCAACCTGGACTCCATCTTCGAAGATTTTCGCGAACGGCTGGATGAGATCATCGCCATGGAGCGGGATCAGATCAAAGCCTGGAAAGCTAAAGCCGCCGAGGCAGAAAACTTCAGTGACACACTGCTGAAAGATATCGCCGAGCGCAACGAACAGGTTCTTGATGATCTGCCTGACAATATTGGTGCGCAGATCAAAACCCTGGAAAAGTTTGAGTTCATCAACACCGATGCGCAGAAAAAATTCATTGAACTGCTAAACGAACTGCGCAAGGCAATGACCGGCACGTTCTTCAATGACATTGAGAACATGGTCAAAAATCTGTCAGACGGCGACATAGAACGCATGAAGCAGATGATGAAAGCTTTGAACGACATGCTGGTGAAAAAAATCGCTGGCGAAGATCCTGGTTTTGATGAGTTCATGGCGGAATTTGGTGACATGTTTGGCGACAACCCGCCAAAGAACCTGGACGAATTGTTAGAGCAGATGCGCCAGCAGATGGCAGCAGCTCAATCCCTGATGAATTCCATGTCCCCGGAACAGCGCCAGGCTCTGCAGGAGATGTTCAGTGGCCGTTTTGGTGATCCTGAACTGGAAGCAGAGATGGCTAAGCTCGCCAAAGAGCTCGACTTCCTCAACCCTGATGGCCAGAGCTACAATTTTTCCGGCGACGAATCCCTCGGCCTGGACGAAGCCATGAAACTCATGCAGGAAATGCATGAAATGGACGATCTGCTCGGCCAGATGCAGGATGCGGAACGTCGTGGCGACCTCAGCGGTATCAACAAAGATCTGCTGCGCGACCTGATGGGCGAAGACGAAGCGGATCAGTTGGAACAGCTCGACAAACTCATGAAAATGCTGGAAGACTCAGGCTACGTGCGCAATGAAAGTGATAAAGGCTGGGAGCTGACGCCGCGCGGCTCGCGGGTGATCGGCCAGAAAGCCCTCGGCGAGATTTATCAGCGCCTGAAAAAACAGAGCCTGGGTAATCACGCGATACCTGAAGAAGGCCGTTTTGGTGAACGCATGGAAGATACCAAAGCCTACGAATTTGGCGACCCCTTCCATCTGCATATGCCAAGAACCATTCGCAACTCGATTAATCGACAGGGTCCAGGCGCGCCGGTGCAGCTCAATCCGTCAGACTTTGAGGTCTACCGCAGCGAGCAGATCACCTCAACAGCAACCGCACTGCTGGTGGACCTGTCCTGGTCTATGGCGTTGCGCGGCTCTTTCCAGGCGGCTAAAAAAGTTGCGCTGGCGTTGCATAACCTGATTACCAGCCAATACCCGAAAGACAGTTTCTACATCATCGGCTTTGCAGCAACGGCTAAAGAGCTCAAACCCCAGGACCTGCCTTTCCTGCAGTGGGATGAATACGTGCTGGGTACCAATATGCAACACGCGTTGCTGATGGCAGAGCGCCTGTTGTCTAAACACCCTGGCGGCAGTAAACAGATCATCATGATTTCAGACGGAGAGCCAACGGCACACATGGAAAACGGTCAGGCCATGTTTGCCTATCCGCCCACGGCTGAAACCATACGCGCAACCTTCAGAGCAGTAAAACGCTGCACCACCAGAGGCATTGCGATCAATTCTTTTATGCTGGAATCCTCTGAATACCTGCGCGCATTCATGCAGGAAGTGGCGCGCATGAATGGCGGACGAGTTTTTTACACCTCACCGGAACAGTTGGGTGAATATATTCTAGTGGACTATGTGGAAGGCAAGCGTAAAAAGCTTGGGCGTTGAGCTGCCCCAGGACTATCTTCCAGGCGGGCTCTGACGGTTGGAATTCGCTCTCTTCTGCATACGCTGAAAGGCCCGGGTGCGCTCTTCCGGAGAAAGATTTCTGAACCGTTTTCGCAACCTGTCTTTCTGGGCTGGCGTGAGCTGCTTAAATCGCGTCAGTCCTTTGCGCATCTCCTGGCGCTGCTCCGGCGGTAGTTGACTGAACATCTGCCAACGCTGCAGCAACCGCTCTCGTTGTCTGGTGTCCAGTGATTGCCATTTCCTAAAACGATTCTGCATCTGTTTACGCTGTTGACTGTCCATCGACAACCACCGGTCGGAACCCAATATCAAACGCTGCTTCCGCACCTCCGGCAGTGTTTCCCAGTTATCTTGATAAGCACCAAGCACCTGGCGCTGCTGTCCTGACAACTCGCTCCAGTCGACGGCCCAGGATAAATTACTACTTGTCAGCAATACCAGGAACAGAATCAGCCTTTTCATTGTCGAACCTCCGGCAGCCCCACGGGCAATTCAGCAGATGTGTCATTGTTGTTTTCTATCTGGGCAGGTTGCCCAGCGTCTTGAATCTCCCGGGAAAACACTTCGGTAACGTCGAGTAATTGTCCATCTACTTCAATCATGGCGCCCAGGTATTCCAGGAAAGACATCTCAACTGGCAGTTGACCTTCCTCGGAAAGAACCTGCACTGATAAAAGTATCAATAGGCTACCAAACAGAAACCTAACCTTGAGAGGGTGCATCGGTGGCGTCCTCCTCAGTCATCATCCAGGCAACAAACTCAAGTTCTTCCAGCAGCTCAACATGCAGCGCCGCCGCCATTTCTTCATCATCCAGCACGGGTAGCCTGTCCACCGGTGTTGTGAACAGGACAGCCCAGACAAGCATCGCGGCACAAGCACTGCCCAACCCCAGTGTTGGCCACAACAGCCAGGATCTGCGCGTTTCGGGCAACACCTGCAGTGCCTGCGCACGCGCGCTGCGCAGCCTAGCCTGAGATACCTGGGCGAGAATCTGCTCCTGTTCGCGCAGTTGTTGACCTGCTTGTTCAGCCCATTTCTGATCTTCCGGGTGCAGTTCATCCATCATCGTAGTCTTGCAGTTCTTCTCGTAGACTGTCCCGCAAGGTGTGCACCGCGCGGGAGTAATGTGTTTTAACTGAACCGGTGGAACAGTTCATCGCCTTCGCTGTATTTTTCACATCCATGCCTTCCCAGGCACGCAGCATAAACGCCTGCTGTTGGCGGGCGGGTAGTTGAGCCAAACTCTCAAACAAGCGCGCCGTAGATGCATCTAGTTCCTGACTAAACTCCGGATTGTCCCGGGGCGAACCGGCAATCTGCTCAATGTCATCCTGTGGCTGACCGTCAGTAAAAACAAACCGGCTGAAGAGCCCAGCCCGGCGGCTGTTCGCGCGATGGAAATCCATCACGCGATTGTTGAGCACACGATAGAATAACGGCGCCCATTCGTTGCTGGGTTTACTGCCATATTTTCTGGCCAGCGTGAACATAGCGTCTTGCACGATATCTAAGGCATCGTCAACATTTCTCACGGAAACCATAGCCATGCTATACGCCCTCTTTTCCACGCTTGCCAGAAACTGGTTTAGATCGACTGGATTGACCATCTGATCAGCATAGCCAACGTGATCCATAAGGTCTGGCTTTGGATCACGTTGTTTTACGCTTGAAATGTGATGTACTCAGCAGCGCTCAGTGCCTGCGGTTGATTCGCGCACCTTTGCGATCCAGGCGGTGATCGATACGGCTGCCTTTCCGATCGAGGCGGTGATCTATTTGATCGCCTTTACGATCCAGACGAGCGGCATAACGCGGTTTATCATTCGCATTTGCACGCTGTGATGCCACATCCAGCCGATCATTCACACGATCTCCCCGATTATCCAGGCGGTTTTCCACCCGATCACCCCGTTGATCGAGCCTGTTTTTAATCCGATCGCCTGTATCAGCGCTGGCGCAGATGGAAAAAAGGGTGAGAGCCGTTCCAAGCACAATGCTTTTTGTAAACTGCGGATTCATAACTAACCTGCTTTTGCTGTTGATCGTAGAGTTAATAACGAACGAGCCGCCAATCGGTTGACAGAAAAGCAAAATAAAAATGAGCCGCTGAAACCTTTCGCGGAGACGATCCTCGCTCGCTCGCCGCGGCCATCTCATTGTAAAAAACTCGGGGTTTGAGGCGGCCCAGGGCTACTTCAGATAAAAGTCTTCGTTGAACGTCTTGACGACGTCCGGATAGAAAACTGTAAAAGCTGTGACCAGCATGCCGTTGATGAAGCCTTCAGGGAACATCAGCAGCAGAATGAAAGCCCAGTTGTCCAGCGACAAGGTTATCCATTCTGGCTGACCGATCACCCAGAAGGTTGGCAAAGCGAGGATGCCCAGCACTAACACACTCAGCAGGCCACCTCCGAAACCTGCCCCCAGCATGTAAACAAACAGGTTCCTCAACGCGTGGGTGCGCAGAAAATGGACCAGCAGTCTGGTTGTTGTTGCTGGCACCAGCACAGAAAACAGCCAGGCCAGAGGTGCGGCCAACATGGATTGCTGCAGCCACCAGAGAAAAACGAAAAGGACCAGCGTTGCGCCAAGAATAGTGAAGCGCCAACCTACAATCAGCGTCAGGCTGGTGACACCAAGAAGATGTATCCAGACGCCCGCAATGACCTGAAACGAGAGCAGCCACAAGAACAGCAGCGCCAGCAGACCACCAAGAAGAACGTGCTGGCGCTCTGACGCCGCCCACAATGCAGGCCAGGGCGCCGATAGGCCCGCCCCCACTATACAGATCAGCATGACAAACCCGCTGGCGAGATTGAGCCAGAATGGAATGAGCTCAGCTGCCACAATCATAATGTTCTGATGTTTACTCCCATGGAACAGGGTCCATGATACACGAGCACAGGTATTCGCCTGTCTGAACAAGTATCATCCCAGATAACAGTGCCCAAACCTTCATTGCCTGTTGTGTCAGCGGCAATGCAGTCTGGTCCGCAAGCTTTGGAGATAACAGGATGAGCATCCGCAAGAGATCACTACCGGGTATCCACACAGACGAGATAGCAAAAGCCAGACTACCCCTGCCATCCGGTTATACATTGCCCCGCGCTGCTTACACCAGCAAAGAAATATACGCGCTCGAATGCGAGCATATCCTGCGCAAAAGCTGGCTGCCTATCGCTCGCATAGACCAGGTTCCCGAACACGGCAGCTACCTGACCCTGGATCTACTCGGGCAACCTGTGATGGTGGTCCACGGCGCGGACGATGAAATCCGTGTAATGTCCAGTGTCTGCCTGCACCGTGGTGCGCCCATTGCCCAGGGGAGCGGGAAACGTAATGTCTTCACCTGCCCCTATCACGCGTGGAGCTACGACACCACGGGGCAACTTCGCCGGGCACCCTTGATGGAAGGCGCGGAAGACTTCACCGAAAATGCACACCGGCTGCCGCAGATCCGGTCTGAAGTGTGGGAGGGATTCATCCTGGCTAACCTTGACCCCGATGCGCAGCCGTTAGCGCCGCAGATCGCAGCATTCACCGACTACTTCAAGAACTTCCAGATGGGTGACATGTTTGTCGCAAAAACATTGACGTTCGATAGTGGATGGAACTGGAAGGTACTTGTTGAAAACTTCATGGAGGCCTATCACCACATTGCGATTCACTCCACCACCTTTGAACCGGTTTTTCATGCCAGAGATTCTCGAGTGCCGGACAACACAGGACCCTGGTCAATATTGCATATGCCAGCAGCTTTTGAAGAAATGCCACCGGGCTCTGCCACCATTGCGGGGCTTGAAGACTGGCAGGCGAAAGACCTCTTTGCGAGCGTGATTTTTCCGCACTTCATGCTGGGCATTCATGGACAGGGCGCCGCCTGGTATCAGGTCATACCCGCTGCTGCAAATCATCTGACTCTGAAGATCCACCTGATGATGCCGAAATCCGCTGCCGAGCATGCAGATTTTGAATCCATGGTGGCAGAAATGGCGGAATCGGTTTCCGCCATTCATCAGGAAGATATCGAAGCTAACGATCTCGTTTGGGTGGGTCTGAACGCACCGATGACAGAACAGGGAAGACTATCACCACTGGAAAAATCTATCTGGCAGCTGAATCAGTGGTGGTTGGATAAGATGTTAGGTCACGATTGATACGCTCTGCCGTGACATGTCACCCAACTACTGGGTTTTTCAGGCACGCGGCTGTTGCCTGAGGAAAAGCGCAATGCCTCCCAGAGTCAGAACCGTAGCGAGTACCAGTCGAAGCGTCAGCGGTTCGGCCAGCAACAGCACGCCACCCAGAGCCGCCAGAGCGGGTACGGATAGTTGCATCACTGCGGCGGTTGTTGCTTTGATGTGTTGCAGGACTGCATACCAGATTGCGTATCCGGCACCCGACGCCAGCGCACCCGACGCTAGGGCAAAAAGCCCGCCTGGCCAGGTTAAATGCATATTGCTGCTGTCTATCAGGCTCACGAGAAGCGCAACAGGGGTTGCATAAAGAAAGTTGTTTGCCGTAGCGCTTGTTGGGTCGTCACCCTGAAGACCAAAAAGAGAGTACGCACCCCAGGCCAGCCCGGCCACCAACATAAGTGCGGAATACATCGGCTCGGGCGCTTGGATTCCCGGCGAAACGAGGTACACCAGACCGCTTCCTGCGACGGATATCCCCACCCAGGCAAGCATTGATAAGCGCTCGCCGCGAATAATCGCAGTGCTGATCATGATGAGCTGGACAGACCCGAATAAAAGCAGCGCGCCGCTACCTGTGCTTAGCGATTGATAAGCAAAGGAGAAACACAGCATGTAGGCGCTAAGCGCCAACACAGACTTCCAGACGGGTTTTGCAGGCCGCCAATCTGTTCCGCGCATTTTGCTGCGAACAGCAACAATGAAAAGCAGGCAAAGGGTGCCTGCAAACAGCCGCAGCGTGGTGAAAGAGGCAGGGTCAATCAACTCTGCTCGCAGTGCCATACGGCACAGCACTGAATTGGCAGCAAATGCAGCCATCGCAGTCGTAGCCAACATAGCGACCTGCATAGCAGGTTTTGAAGTGCTCAATTAGCGCCGATAGCCCGCGCCAGGATGAGGGGCCGCTAAACGCGGTTGTTTACGCCCGAGTTTTTCTCTGAATGTCCCTGGCTGATAATGGCGCTTGTAAACCCCCCGCTCCTGCAACTCCGGGATGACAAGATCTACAAATTCTTCTACCGACTCAGGCATCACTGTATAAGCAAGATTGAACCCATCAAGACCCGACACTGCAAACCATTGTTCCAGCTTGTTGGCAATGGTTTCCGGCGAACCCGTAATGATCGGACCTGCGCCGCCAACGGTAAGGTCCTCAGCCCAATCTCTGACCGTCGCGCTACCGTGGGCGGACAAGGCAGATTGAATAGCGTCGGATTCAACCTGTTGGACGGTGGCATCCATATCCAATTCAGACAGATCCATTCCGGTCCAGCCTGAAAGCAGTGCAAGCGCACCCTCGTTGAGACCATAGCTTTTATAATCAGCCAGTTTTTCTTCTGCTTGCGCGTCCGTTGGCGCAACAATTACGGTTATTGCGCCGAAAATTTTCAGGTCGCTCGGATCCCGACCATGCGCCGTTGCCTGTGCCCTCAGACTGGCAACAGATCTGGCATGTTGCTCAGCATTGTGACCCCCAATAAACACACATTCCGCGTGCTTGCCTGCAAAAGCCTGCCCCTTCGGTGATGTGCCTGCCTGGAAAAGCACAGGCGTACGCTGGGGTGATGGTTCACATAAGTGGATCGCGTTTAACTTGAAGTATTTGCCATCGTGATCGATGCGGTGAACTTTATCTGGATCTGTGAAGACCCCACTTGTACGGTCCCGCAGAACCGCCCCATCTTCCCAGCTGCGTTCCCACAAGGCGTAAACCACCTGCATATACTCATGCGCGATGTCATAACGGGTGTCGTGCGCTTCTTTCTTATCCTGACCAATCCCTTTAGCGGCACTATCAAGATAACCAGTAACAATGTTCCAGCCGATACGTCCCGAAGTGAGGTGATCAAGGGACGAAATTTTTCTTGCGAAACTGTAGGGTGGCTCGTAGGGGATGGAACCTGTTACGCCAAAGCACAAATTTTCTGTCACAGACGCCATGACCGGCACGATGGTAAAGGGATCGTTGGTGGGCACTTGGGTGGCAGCGCGCAGAGCCGCATCCGGTGACCCACCAAAAACATCGTAAACACCTGTCACGTCAGCCAGGAAAATACCGTCAAACAAACCTCGCTCTAACGTGCGAGCCAGATCCTGCCAGTACTTCATGGTGTTGAAATCTGCAGAATGATCCCGCGGGTGGCGCCACAGTCCCTGGGATTGGTGGCCTACGCAATTCATGTCAAACGCACACAGAAGCATCTCTCTGGCCATAACCTGAACTCCAGCCTTGTCAGTTATTAACGGTGTTTTAAAACATTATTGAGCAACTAATAAGACTTGGGCAGCCCCAGCACATGCTCACTCACATAGTTCTGTATCATCTCCTGAGAGATGGGCGCAATTTTCATCAGCCGCGCTTCACGCCAGTAGCGTTCAACATGGTATTCAGTGGCATAGCCAAACCCGCCGTGAGTCTGCATGGCACGATCGGCCGCGAAAAAAGAAGCATCCGCCGCCAGCCACTTCGCCATATTGGCTTCAGCGCCACAGGGCAGGCCCTGGTCAATCATCCAGCTGGCTTTACGGATCATCAGCTCCGCAGCGTCCAGACGCATTCTGGCCTCCGCCAATGGGAACGCGATACCCTGGTTCTTACCGATTGGTCGACCAAACACAACTCTTTCGTTAGCATAATTCACAGCGCGTCGCAGAGCTGCCCGTCCGATGCCTAACGCTTCTGCTGCAATCAGTATCCGTTCCGCATTTAAACCATCGAGAATGTAGCGGAAACCTTTCCCTTCTTCGCCGACCCGGTCGGTCACCAGTACCGGCAGGTTGTCATACACCACCTCACAGGTTGCCACTGCATTTCGACCCAGTTTATCGATGGGTGATATCGACACCTCCGGCCGCTGCAGTTCAGCCAACAACAGAGTTAACCCATCGGTTCGCCGTTCGACCTGATCTTTGGGGGTGGTTCGCACCAGCAGAAGTACGCGCTGGGACTGTAATGCCTTGGTGGTCCAGACTTTGCGACCTTTAACCGTGTAAGTATCGCCATCTAACCTGGCAAACGTTGAGATTGATGTGGTATCGGTACCTGCATCGGGCTCGGTGACGCCGAAGGCAACATGCAGATCACCACTGGCCACCGCAGGCAGATACTTCTGCTTCATCTCTTCCGTGCCGTATTTCACCACAGGATGCATGCCGAATATCGATAGATGGATAGGCGTTGCCCCATTCATCGCAGCGCCGCTGGCTGCAATGGTCTCGAGTACAAGGCTTGCTTCGGTGATGCCCTGACCACTGCCGCCGTAAGCTTCCGGTATGGCAATACCTAACCACCCTGCGGCAGCCATGGCATCGTAAAAATCCCAGGGGAACTCATGATCCTTATCCTTTTGCGACCAGTACTCATCCGGATAGTCGGCACACAGCCTGGACACGCTTTGTTGAATAAGCAGTTGTTGATCAGTGAGTTCAAAATCCATGGACGTTTCTTCTAATGGTGAATTGGCATTTAAACTGGAGCAAGGTAAGTTGTACATCGCTTTAGGGGAGCATAAACATGCCTGGAAAATATTTCGAGGACCTTCAGGTGGGCGATGAATTCACTCATCAGCCCAGCCGTACAGTCACAGAAACAGACAATCTGCTGTTCAGCGCGTTGACGTTGAACCCCCAGCCTTTGCATCTGGATGCGGAATTTGCCAAGCATTCGATTCATGGTCAGATTCTGGTGAACAGCATATTCACCCTCGGCCTGGTGGTTGGTTTATCAGTGGGTGATACCACCTTGGGCACCACACTGGGCAACCTGGGATTTGATAAAACCACCTTCCCCAATCCGGTATTCATCGGCGACACACTTACGGCACACAGCAAAGTGGTTGAAAAGCGCGCCAGCAAATCAAAACCCGACCGTGGCATCGTGACATTTGAACATACGGCAACCAATCAGCGCGGCGAAGTTGTCTGCAGCTGTATACGCGGCGCCATGATGATGAAACAGCCTTGATAATTCGAAAATGATGAAACAGCATTCCCCTGGCACCCAACGATTGCGCCGGTCAGCCCACTTTGTGCCTGGCGCCAACGAAAAGATGCTGCAGAAGTCTATTGCCAGCAATGCCGACTGCCTCATTCTTGATCTTGAAGATGCAGTTGTCCCCAAACAGAAAGACGCTGCCCGTCAGATTGTCAGCCAATGGCTGAAAGAGGCTGATTTTGGCAATAAAGAACGCACCGTGCGGATGAACCCGTTAGATACCCCCTGGGGCCTGCAGGATCTTGCCGAAACCATGGTATGCCCACCGGATGCTTACATTGTTCCGAAAGTATCCACGCTGGAAGAACTGAACACCATCAGCGCAGAGCTCGATCGCCTTGAAGCTCAGTACGGCCACCCCAACGGACAGGTTGGCCTGATCCTGGTATCTACCGAAACGCCACTGGGCGTTCTGAACCTACCGACTTTTACTGCATGCCAGCGGGTTATAGGGCTGACCTGGGGTGCTGAAGATCTGTCCGCTGCCCTTGCAGCGCCTCGCAACAGGCGTCCGGACGGCAGTTATCTGGACCTGTACACCCACTGCCGCAACATCACATTGCTCAGCGCCGCCGCCGGTGGCGTGCAACCGATTGATTCCGTGTTTGTCGACTTCAATGACACTCAGGGACTTGCAGAGGAATGTCAGGAAGCGGCATGGATGGGGTATACGGGCAAAATAACTATCCATCCTAAGCAGATTGATATTGTGAATCAGGCCTTTACACCAAGCGACGCGGAAGTTTCTGAGGCAGGCGAGCTTGTGGAGGCATTTGGCCAGGCAGAACAGGAAGGGCTTATGGCAATCAGCTTCAAAGGTCAGATGGTAGACGTACCCCACCTGGTTCGCGCACAACGCATGCTGGCTCGCGCCGAGCAGATAAAAGAACAAACAAACCGTTAGGAAAAGCAATGTCGTTAACGCTCAACACAGATCGCATGCAGACACACATCGATAATGGCGTGGGATGGATGGTGTTTAATAACCCGGCCCGCCACAACGCCCTGTCGTTAGAAATGTGGCAGGCCATTGGCGATATTCTTGAAAACTATGCTGCTGACGACAATGTACGGGTTGTGGTCATGCGCGGTGCCGGCGGTAAAGCTTTTGTTTCCGGCGCAGACATCTCTGAATTTGAAGAGAAACGTTCCAACGCAGAACAACAGGCCTCGTACAATAAAATTGCTGGTCGCGCGACCAAATGGATGAACAGCTTCGAAAAACCGCTGATTGCGTTAATCGAAGGGTATTGTATTGGCGGCGGGCTGGCCACTGCCCTTGCAGCAGACATCCGCTTCGCGACCCCGGATTCCACCTTTGGTATTCCTGCGGCAAAGTTAGGCCTGGGTTATGAATATCCCGGGCTGGCCAAGCTGTCACGCGTAGTGGGCCCCAGCCACGCAAGGGACATCATGTTTTCCGCTCGCTTCATGCCCGCTGAGGAAGCAAAAGACATGGGGCTCATTAACTTCATTGAATCCCGCGACGCTATCGAATCCGCCTGCCTGAGCTACGCCCGGCGCATTGCAGGCAATGCGCCGCTAACGGTCAAAACCGCCAAAGCGGCCATTGATGTGTGGGAATCCGGCAGCGAGCCAGAGGCTGTTGCACAGATCGGTCAGATGGTTGAGATGTGTTTTAACAGCGAAGACTACGCCGAAGGCCGACGCGCCTTTCGGGAAAAGCGCAGTCCGACATTCAAGGGTCGCTAGCTGTAAGCGGAACTCGTTTCGAGGCGTCAGCGTGTTGCCTGGCGCAGCAGTTCAACGCCGCCTACTTCTATCAGATAGTCGGTAAACGCTGCGGTATTTAGCGCGCCAGCACCACCTTGGGTTTCTAACATGTGATTACGTATCACCTGATGGATTTGAGCCTCGGGCGTCTGCCGCAACTTCTGCAGCAGCAGACCGGCTTCTAACTCCGCATCAAACTGACATCGATAGGGCCCCACATCCAGTCCTTCACGGGTGTGAAAATACCAGGCATTGTCAACGCAGAAAATACGGTCACAGCGGTACCATAATCTGGCGGGCTCTCCCTCTCGTACGGTTAAGTGTGCCCTGCTGTCCATTGCCTGCTGCGTCAATTCCATTTCCTTTGCCATGTTACAAACGTCTCCCCAATCATCAACACCAGTGTCGATAAATCGGCCTGCTTTGGCTGTAGGCGCGTTGTGTTCAGATGTAAGCGCCTTTTATAGGAGGGTCGCAGCGAGCCTAAAAGCGAGTATCATCAGCTCACAAGCAAACGGCAGGGGATAAGGACAACAGCCAATGACGAACAACAAAACAGCTTTCGCTCACTTCACACCTATACGCGGTTTGATAACCACGCTTCTGTGTCTGGTAACACTCAGCGCGTGTTCCACCACAACCGCGCCACCACCAGCTGCAGCCGCTGCGCCGGTCGGTTTTGCGGATGAATATCGAATCGGTGTGGGTGATGAGTTAGATATTAATGTTTGGCGCAATGCGGATTTGAGTATCAGCGTACCGGTTAGGCCAGACGGTAAAATTTCTGTCCCTCTGGCAGGAGACATTACCGTGGGTGCAAAAACACCCGAAGAAGTCAGCGCCGACATCACAGAGAAACTGGCCAAGTTTATTCGCGATCCTTACGTGACCGTCATCGTGACCACCATGGGCAGCGACGAGTATCGCTCACGCGTGCGGGTAACAGGGGCGGTGGAAGACCCACTTTCTATCCCTTACCGACAAGGCATGACTGTCCTTGATGTGGTTCTGGAGGCCGGCGGCCTGACAGAATTTGCTAACCCGACAAAATCCACTCTGTTCCGTAAGAGCGGTGAACGTATCGACGTCGACCTGCGTGGAATAATGAATCGCGGTGATATGAGTACAAACCATCCGCTCATGCCCGGTGATGTTGTCACGGTGCCTGAACGCGCCTTTTAAAGCTGGGAGCTGATATGCGTATTTTGCCTGTCGTTGTCACAGCGGCACTCTGCCTGGTTCCAACATCCGCGATTTTTGCGTTGGAATACAACGTCACCCTGAACCAGGAGTCCGAGTACACCACCAATACCGGTTTAACCAATGAAGATGAGGTCTCCGAGTGGATCCATTCTCCGGGAGTAGGGCTGGTCGCCAACCACGAGGGACCAAACCTAGAACTAGATGTCGACTACAACGTTAACAGGCGCATCCACCAGGAAGATCTGTTTGATAACGACACCGAATCCGCAGGTACGGCAAACATAGTGTGGGACGCACTGCCAGAACGCCTGGCTTTGACCGCAAGTCATACCCGCACCCAGACCGCCATTCAAACCATCACCGGCGGTGCAACGCCAGATAACAGACAAGAAACTTCCGTAACCAGCGCGGGACCGACACTCAGGTTTAACCCCCGCGGCCAGGACCAGATATTACTCGGCTATCTGTATGGGATCCGTAAGTCTAGCGAAACTGAAACCGATGCAATAACGCACGACACCAGCTTGAGCTATGTACTGGTAACCTCGCCAACCAATTCTGTGGCATTGGCACTCACGCAGAACCAGGTGCAGTACGAAAACCCATTTATTCCTGATATCGAATATCAGATCGCTAAGGTCACTCTCGATCGGCAGCTGAACAACCTCGAGTACACCTTCACCGGCGGCTATAAAAGGGCGGAACGCACACTGGGTCGAGAGGACATAGACGATTTTATACTTGATCTACAAGCCGACTGGCAGGCACGCCCCGGCACTCAAGTAGGGTTAACGCTGCAACACGATATTCAGGATCAGTCCAGCGCCCTAGATTCAGGTTCTTTTGCAGACGATCTTGATTTTTCTGCAGACTCCGACCTGGGTGAAGTATTCACAAATGACCGCCTCAGTTTGACCGTGAGCCAGCGTCTGAATGAAAGCACGTCAATGACCTTTGGTGCAGACTATGTCGAAGAAGATTACGAAGACCTTGCTCGTGACACCACACGTCAAGCGCTAAGGGTAGGCCTGAGCCGCGCAATAACTCGGCAAGTACGCGGCGCGTTAGGGATATCATTTGAGAATGAGGATTTTGAAGATCAAGGTGAAGACGCGGATACCCTGCGTGGTGATTTGCGCATTGATTATGATATCGGCCGTAACTTAACCACAGCGTTGACCATTCGCTACGAAGAGCGTGACAGCGATGCTACCGAGATAACCAGCAACTATGACGCTTGGTCTGCAATAATTACTTTGCGCTATACACTCTTCCGAAGAGGGTCACCTTAACGGGCCAAAGTCTGCCTTAGAACAATAAAGTAGAAGCGATTTATCCTTCTTCCGATAAAAACCACTGAAACCACGAAACTTCAGGGATTCGAAATCACGTTATAGTTGAGCCCATCTAAGTTGGGGACGCCCACTGAGAAGAATTACCCTTAACTGATACTCCCAGCTGCGAGATCGCACTTTGTCCCTGTCCAAAACAGGTTAATTGGAACAAAGCATCATCGTTCAATGGCGCGGACGTAAATGTGCCACTGGTGGCAACCTGGCCGTTCCAAGCCCCTCTGGCCTCGCAACTATCCGCGTTACTGCTTGACCAAGATATTTGGACAGTTTCATTTAGCGCAACCACTTCTGCATCACTAAACAATGACAGAGAAACCTCTTCGTCGTCATCTAGAACATCAATTTGAACTTGTCGGAACGCGACTCCGCCATTACCTGAACAGCTGAGCATGAAAGTCTGTGAACTCTCCAACGAACCAATTGATTCTTCACCATTGATTGGACGAGCCCCACTCCAATCTCCAGAGGATTCACAACTTGTTGTAGCAGAACTTTGCCAAGATAATTTGACTGTTCCTCCTGGGGATACGGTTTCAGGTGACGCTACTAAATTCAGAGAAGGTGGAAGGCTATCGCTTTCTGCGTTAACAGGTCCAGCAGAACCTGGGAGACCGCGATCACTGCCACAGCCAGTCAACAGTCCGAGGATAAAAACGCCGAAGAAAAGCTGAAAGTGTGAAAATGGTTGACAATAACCACGTCCACTTAAATTTCGCCGCGTCGAAACGCCTATTTTGCGTCGTGCATTCATCTGGAGGAATCCATTGTTACTTCGCCAACCTACCAAAACAACCCAAAAGCGCGTTCCCAATTACCAGGTCTTAGGCAGTACATCCTGGTAACGACCCCCTCCAAATCGCCGATACCAGAACGGGAAGCACTCTACCTTTCACAACTTACACGGTAAAGAGGAAACCACTAAAAACACAGGGTTTGCGTCACAAAATTGTTAGCAAGTGTTACACGCGAGAGGCGTCACACGATCGTAAGGATCCACGAACACATCCCCAGCGCAGCACACACCTGTTAGTATGCGCGCTGCGAATTTCTGAACAGAGCAAACCATCCATGCCACAAGCTGTAACCGCCTGCGTATTGATCATAGGCAACGAAATCCTGTCTGGCCGAACACAAGACGTGAACTTGAACCATCTGGCTACAACCCTTGGTGAATGGGGCGTTCAGGTCAAGCATGCCCGGGTAATTCCTGACGACGTTGATACGATCGTTGACACCGTCAACGAAACCCGCGCGCAGTTCGATTACGTCTTCACCACCGGTGGTATTGGGCCCACACACGACGACATCACCGCGCAATGTATCGCCAAAGCCTTTGACGTACCGCTGATCCAGCATCCAGACATCGAAGCGAGGATTCGCCAGCGCCCTGCTCCCGATGACATCATGGCCAGCCGTCTGCTGATGGCTCGAGTGCCCACCGGCGCCAGCCTCATAGATAACCCGACAGGCGGCCCACAGGGTTTTTACATCGGCAATGTGTACGTGATGGCCGGCATTCCGATGATCATGCAGGGCATGTTATCCAGTCTGAAAGGCGCGCTGCGCAGCGGTCCTGTCGTGCGTTCACGCTCCATACGGGCTTACATGGGCGAGAGCCAGATCGCACAGGCATTGGGTGAAATTCAGGATAAATTCCCGGAGGTCGATGTCGGCAGCTACCCGTTTTTTCGCGAATCACGTTACGGCACCAATCTGGTTATTCGCGGCACCGACCCGGCAACCATTGAAGCGACTGCCCAGGCGATCATGGCTGCTGTGACTGCGGCCGGCGAAACCCCCGAAGATCTCGGCGAGGAATAAATCATGCGCGTTGTAAAATGCAGTGTTGTCGCGCTCCTTTGCCTGTTGCCATCCCTGCAGGCCTGGAGCGCAACGCCGACTGTGCAGATGAAACCTGGCCACAGCGCTGAAGCGGTGTTCAGCACCTCACCTGCGAAACGTTTCAGCGTCACAGGGCAGGTCAACAAACTGGCTGCCGCCACCGCGGCCCAGCAGGCTTGTTCCATAGCGCACCCACCACCCTATAGCGACACCGAGTACTGCGAACTGGTCTCTCTGGACAAAGCCTCTCTGACCACCGTTGCAGATATCCGCGCAGCTTTACCTGATACCCGCCACCCGCTGTTTCTGTGGCGTTATGAGCACAAGAAGGCGACGGTCTACCTGATGGGCTCGGTGCATATTTTGAAGCGCGGCTTATATCCGCTCCCACGCCAGTATCAGACAGCATTTGACTTGTCCGACAATCTGGTACTGGAAGTCGATATGACCGCATTCACACCCGCTGAATTACAGGCAAAAACCATGCAATACGCGGTGCTTGCCAACAATCAACAGCTTACAGACGTATTGAATGAGGAAACATTTAGTGCCTTAAACAGCGTGACCGCTCAATACGGCCTGCCACTGAACCAACTCGGCCCTTTTAAACCAGGCTTCATCACGCAACAACTGGCTGTGCTGGCACTGATGTCTGTTGGCTACGATCCAGGTCAGGGCGTAGAAACCTATTTCACGTCACAGGCGGCGGATAAAAACCTGATGGCGCTGGAAACCCTGGACTTCCAGCTTGATCTGCTCATGAACCAGCCGCTGTCGACGCAAGTCGCCATGGTGCGCGACACGCTTGAGCAAATGGACGAATTTGAGCCTTTTACCGCTGATTTGATAACTGCCTGGCTCAGCGGCGATGACCAGAGTTTCTATCAGGCTTTTGCAGCACAATCTGGCGCATCAGAAGCATCAAAAGCGTTTTTGCAGCAACTGCTGGACGAACGTAACGTGGGCATGGCAGACCAGATCGCAGGCTATCTGAACGCGGGCGGCACCTACTTTGTCATCGCTGGTGCAGCTCACTACATCGGCAACAACAGCATCATCGAGTTACTTGAAGCCCGCGGGTTTCGCGGTGAGCGTATTTACTCTGACCAGCTGCTAATGCCGTGAGCGGCGATCCTCACGCATTCCAACCGGGTAGAGGCCTGCACAACCCCCACATACAAACCGTGCTGTCAAGCATGGGACGCAAGCTTGTGCCCTCCAAAGTACAACAGCAGTTCCACGCCGCGGCAGAACGGAAAATTATCACGCTGAACGGCGTTAACCTTGCAGTTGACCTCAACCTGATTCCTGATGCGCCGCTGATCATGCTGATCCCCGGCTGGCTGGGCAGCTCACAATCCTCTTATGCGCGTTCCTGCGCTACTGTTCTGGCCAGGAATGGTTTCTCAACCGCGCGTATCAATCTGCGCGATCACGGCAACACCGCACACCTCAATCAGGGCCTGTTCAACTCAGCGATGATTGAAGAAGTGGTTGCGCTGGTCGCTCACCTGGACGAACTGTATGGTACAAAAGGCAGCGGCTTGATGGGTTATTCCCTGGGCGGCAATTTTGCGTTGCGGGTGGCCAGGGCTTTGCCCGGCTTGCCTACGCTTGCAATTGCACCGGCTATGGAACCCGCCAGCACCATGTATCAGATCGATGCCAGCACCATGTACCAGCGCTATTTCATCAAGAAGTGGCGCAGCGTGTGGCGGGAAAAAGATAAAGCATTCCCGGGTGTGTACAATTTCAAGAATGCACTGACATTGAACACCGTCAGCGCACTGACTGATTATTTTGTCCGCTACCATTCCGACTTTGACTCAACAGACGAGTATTTTCAGGCTTATGACCTGTCCGCGGATGCCCTGCAGGGGGTCAATGCTCACATCCTGGCTGCCGCTGACGATCCGATTATTCCAGCCGAGCAGTATGGCCGATTACCAGAAGGCATCGTTCTGCATCTGACCCATCGTGGCGGACACGGCGCTTATCTCGACTCCTGGCGGCTTTCCAGCTGGGCGGATACCTATGCAGTGCAGCATTTCAAAGCTGCGCTGAGCAACCAGACCCAGGTGTAGAACCGCCGCAAAATCTTTTCAGAGCTGCAACTGAACGTTGCCGCCGGTGAGAATAATCGCAACTGAGCGACTGTCAGGCCGAGCGCTGCCGTGTTTCAACAAAGCAGCTACAGGTACAGCGCTGGAGGGTTCCAACACCAGCTTCAGACAGGACATGACCAGGGACTGAGCATCGATGATTTCCTGCTCACTCACCAGATGCACCGGCAGCTGATAGTCGTGCAGAATTTTAAAATTCATAACACCCAGTGAAGCGCGTAAGCCATCAGCAATGCTGAGGGGTGGCATCGGTGGTTGGCGTTTGTGCGTCTGCAAGGCAACCAGCGCTTCACCAGCAAGTGCCGGCTCAACACCAACAACTTGGACCCGCTGATTGGCAACGGCCGGATCAGAGGTCGCCAGCACCGTACCCGCAGCCAGGCCACCTCCGCCAACGGGCAGCCAGATTTCATCCACTTCGGGTGTTGTATTGAGTATTTCCAGGGCACAGGTGCCCTGCCCGGCAATAACCCCCGCATGATCATAGGGTGGCACATACGTGGCGCCCGTATCCGCAAGCACCTCTGCCAATTTCTGTTCGCGCGATTTCAGCGTTTTGCCACAATGCACTATGCGCCCACCGTAACGGCGGATGTTGTCCTGCTTGAACCTGTTTGCATTTTTCGGCACCACAATGGTGGCGGGAATATTCAGGCGCTGAGCCACGGCCGCCAGTGCCGCACCGTGATTGCCGGAAGAATGTGTCGCGACACCCAGCTTACGCACAGCGTCAGGCAGTGACAGTACCGCGTTCAGTGCACCTCGATATTTAAATGAGCCGCTTTTCTGCAGATTTTCGCATTTGAACAACACGTCGACACCGGCAAGCCTGCTCAGCGTGTCACTGCTCAGCATAGGTGTCTCATGAATGCGGCCCGCTATGCGCTTATGTGCTGCGCGGACATTACGAAAAGAAGGCGTGCGTTGCACCAGAGTTATTCAGCGCCGTCAGAGGCAGGAAAATTACCCGCCTTGAGCAGGGACGAAGGCAGGGTTTTGTTGAGCGCTGGCCCCAACCACTGGGCACCCTGTATCAATTTCTCAAGATCGACTCCATGGGCCACACCTGACCGGTTCAGCATGTAGACCAGATCTTCAGTGGCCACATTGCCCGAAGCGTTGGGTGCAAACGGGCAGCCACCGATACCGCCAATACTGGCATCCAGGGTATTCACCCCCGCCTGCAGAGCAGCAAACGCGTTGGCGATGCCCGTGTTGCGCGTGTCGTGGAAATGCGCACGCAAAGGCATATCGGGACCTAGGCGTTCACGCAACGCGCTGAACAGATCAAACACCTGCATGGGTACGGCGACACCAATGGTATCCGCAAGCGCAATCTCTACCGGCGCAGCTTCTGCCAGCGCCTGGGCAATGTCGACTACAGCCTGGGCCTGCACATCACCACTGAACGGACACCCGAAAGCCACCGCTATGGTGACCTGCACTGGAAAACCGTTGTTAGCGCCATGGCTGATGACTTTCTTAGCCATGGTCAATGCATCAGCGACATCCAGACCTTGATTGCGTAATCCAAACACGTCTGTGGCTGGCACCACCAAACCCGCTTCGTTAAGTCGCTGGGTGGCCCGCAAACGCTCATAGCCGCGTTCATTCAGAATCAGGCCGGTGTAGGTCACATCACCCCGCTGTGGCAGACCTGCACAGACCGCTTCGGCATCTGCCATTTGAGGCACACGTTCAGGGTGCACAAAGCTGGTTACCTCGATGCGCTTACACCCGGCATCCAGGGCGTAATCAATCAGTCGAAGCTTCTGTTCGGTAGTGATCAAAGCATCTTCATTCTGCAAGCCATCTCGGGGGCTGACTTCCATGATGGTGACCTGCTCTGCTCTGTGCATTTTCTAAAAACCCTCACGCAACGAAACTGTTTTGTTAAACACCCCGGGTAATTTTGAGTCTTTGCAGAAATAGCCCTGCCTTTCAAACTGAAAGTGGGTGTCTTCGTGCGCCACAATCGCCGGCTCAACAAACCCCTGCAGAATTTCCAGTGAGTCTGGATTAATGTCTTCAAGGAAACTTGTCGCTGAGGGGTCCGGCACACGGAACAGCCTGTTATAGCTGCGAATTTCCACCGGTACCGCGTGGGCTGCAGAGACCCAGTGAACAACACCTTTAGGTTTCAGTCCACTGGTATCCGAACCGGAGCGGGAGTCAGGAAAGTAGGTGCATTTCAGCTCCACAACTTCACCTGCGTCGTCACAGACATGCTCGTCACAACGAATAATATACCCATACCGCAAACGCACCATCTCACCGGGACTCAACCGTTTCCATTTTTTCGGTGGCTCAATGGCAAAGTCATCCTGCTCGATATACAGCTCGCCCGAAAAAGGCATATCCCGCTCACCCAACGATTCGTCTTTGCCGTGCCATTTTCCTGGCAGAATTTCATCACCACCGGTCCAGTTTGTGAGGGTTACTTTCAGCGGTTTCAAAACGCCCATACCGCGGCGCGCGCTGTCTTCCAGATCTTTACGGATACAGAATTCCAGCAGATTCATCTCAACCCTGTTATCCACCTTGGTAACTCCCACCCGAGCGCAGAAATCACGGATCGCAGCCGGTGTTACGCCACGCCTGCGCAGCCCGGCAATGGTAGGCATGCGCGGGTCGTCCCAGCCATCAACAAGTTTTTCTTCAACCAGGCGATGTAACAGGCGCTTACTCATCACCGTGTATTCCAGCCCCAGCCGGGAAAATTCAATCTGCGGCGGGTGAAAGTTGACGTTACTGTTGTCCAGAACCCAGTCATACAACGGTCGGTGGTCTGCAAATTCAAGGGTACACAGGGAGTGCGTAATGCCTTCCAGGGCGTCACTGATACAGTGAGTGAAGTCGTACATCGGGTAAATACACCACTTATCGCCGGTACGCTGATGATGGACATGACGGATGCGGTAGAGCACCGGATCACGCATGTTTATATTCGGCGAAGACATATCGATTTTTGCACGCAGCACATGTTCACCATCGGCAAACTCACCCGCCCGCATGCGCTCAAACAGGTCCAGGTTTTCTGCCACAGACCGATCCCGGAACGGGCTGTTCTGTCCGGGTTCCGTCAGCGTGCCGCGCTGTTCGCGAATTTCCTGGGCTGATGAACTGTCGACATAAGCCTTGCCATCGTTAATCAGGTCCGTGGCAAACTTATACAGCTCTTCGAAATAATCCGAAGCGTGGGTAAGCGTCGACCAGGTAAACCCCAGCCACGCGACATCTGCCTGGATGGACTGCACAAACTCATCACTTTCTTTGCTTGGATTGGTGTCATCGAATCGCAGGAAGGTTGAGCCACCATATTCCTGGGCAACACCAAAATTCAAACAGATGCTTTTCGCATGACCTATGTGCAGATACCCATTGGGCTCCGGCGGAAAGCGGGTGACAACACCTGCAGGGAGCACACCTTGCGCAAGGTCATGTTCAATGCGCTGGCGGATAAAATCTTTAGCTTCGTGGTCCATTGGATAAAAAATAGCACTAAGTCTGCGGGATCCGCATCTTGCACTACACTTTACCAATGGAAAACCCCGATGATGCTATGGAAGATCCAAACAAGCCGGAAAATCAGAGTTCAGACGAAGCGCCAGCGTCAACACCCGACCCACAGGTCGATAGCCTGGGTGATTGGATAGACCGGGCAAAACGGGCTCACGAGCTTGTGGATGCCGTTGACCTGAAAAAAGTGGCCGAACACGACAGTACTGAACTGAGCAAGCTGGGCACCGTTACAGACGCGCTAAACGACCTGTCTGAAGGCCGGTTAGTTGCCCATGTCGAAGGCGTTGATGAAGTGATGCCTGAAATCGATGCCGAACAACAGCGCAAATCTGATCTGTTTGCCGCCATCGCTGCTGCAGGCTGGGTCGATCGCATGGGGCGCGTCCTTTATGTCAGCGCTAACCAGGATTCGGTTAAACCTCTGGAGCTGATTCCGCATCGGGAAGGTTTACCCGATTTTGATATCTGTATCGCCCCCAGCCAACGGGTCAGCTACGGCAACTATGGCATTTTTGTCTCCGGCCACGGTATTTTTGCCGCATCCATTGGCGAACCTGCCAGCAAATACCACTGGCGCATCGATCGCAGCCAGCCTTATGACAGCATGGACGAACTGATGCGCAGCATCTCCTCGTTTGCAGAAAACGACGAGTAAAGCAAAGCAACCAGGCGCACAAGCTCGGTGGTAGACTGGCTGTTTTGAGCCTGGGCCGTCGTCGTTGCATAGAGTTGCGGTTATCTTTATCGGTTGTCTGTTGTTTCTGGCAACCAGCGTCATCCTGGAGCTGCGCCAGCCTCTGGCGAGCCACATCGCGCAAAAAATGGCCGGTGAGAACTGGTACCGCATTGCGCTGAACAACAACCACGTAGGCTATATGTACAATAATGCCTATCGCGATCTCAAAGGCCGCTGGCATTTTTTGTCGACCACTCACTTCTCTCTTGAAAACAACAGCCCCAACACCATCAGCAAATGGCTGACTTTTGCAGCAAAACCTCCGTTTGCTTTAACCCGCGCCAGCTATACCAACCGCAGCAGTGGACAGCACAACGCAACCACGATTCGGGCAACTCCAGAGGGTTACGAAGCCTCTATTCAACGTAATCAACAGGCCAATAGTGTGGCGCTACCCTGGCAGTTTGATCTGGATACGTTTGTGGCTTTCGAACAATGGCTGTCCAGCGAAGCACCGCAAGCCGGCGCCCAACACCTGACCGAAAGCCTGGATTTTGAGCGCCTGCGTATTACACGCCGCAATTATCGTGTGGTTGAACAGAACGACGAAGGTTATCTGGTGGAGACCAGTGCCCCGTTTGCCGCTACCCGCACGCAACTGAACACCTACTTCCAGCCCCAGCATCTCTCCATGGCTGGCTTATTCGACGTACAGGCAACCAGCGAAGCAGACGCCATTGCGCTGAGCGAGCTGCGCAGTAAAACCAGCTACCTGCTCGCGCTGGACCAGCGACTGCCCGACCACACCAACCTGAAAAGCCTGGCCTTAAACCTGCACGGTGCCGGTGACTACAACCTGCCGCAAAAATACAGTCTCACCGCCAACCCGGTTACAACCAAAGGTGATGGTCAGGCACATCAAGGTGAAACGCTGCAGTTCCCGGTCAGCCATCCAGATATACAGGCGCTGGTGGCACAGAGTTTGAGCCAGGCAAAAAACAGCGGGCGCCACCCCGTGGATACCCTGGTGACCACGGCGTACGAGCGTTTGGCTTACAGCGAAGATGAACCTGCCGGCGCCGTCCTGACCGCACTGGAGAAACAGCGTGGAGAGTGCACCGATTACGCCGACCTGTTCAGCACCCTGGCTCGAGCGGCGGGATATCCGGCACGCAACATCTACGGCCTGGCCTATAAAGATGGGGCCAACCCGGCGTTTATGTTTCATGCCTGGAACGAAGTGTATGTAGACGGGCAATGGCGCTCGGTGGACCCCACCTGGAATCAGACCCGTGTGGATGCCAGCCATATGCCTTTGTCAGATGCGCAGGCGGCGAGACTGATGCAGGCCAACAATACCAGCGATATCTACTTCGAGGTTACGGCAAAAGCTTACTTCTCAGGAGACTGAGGTCCCTCAGGTGACAGCGGCGCCTTGACCCGCAGCAGACCTTCCTGAGTCACTGACGCAATCAGCTGACCGTTCTCGGCATGAAAATCTGCATGCACCATGCCGCGGGAACCTTGCGCAGTAGACGTGCGTTTATGGAACAACAACCATTGATCCAGAGGTACGTCGCGATGAATCCACAGCGCATGGTCCAGCGAGGCCATCTGCAGGTCTTCGCGTGGCACTTCGCTCTGATGCGGAAGGGCACCCGTAGAAACCAGACTCATGTCGGATGCGTAAGCCAACAGACAACGGGCCAGTACCTGATCTGCACCATCAACACTTTCTCGAAATCGTATCCAGGACGGGCTGTGAAAACGGTCCTGCAGCCAGGCTTCTGAACCCAGACGGAACACCGAACGCATTTCAAAAGGTCGCTCAATTTTTGCCATGGGACTGAGATGCGGCGAGTTTTCCATCAGCGCATGTGCCACTTCCACATCGTCTTCCAGCTCTTCCGGCAGCGGCACATTCGGCATGGGATGCGCGTGATCAAAACCAGGTTCAGCTACCTGAAACGAAGCGTCGAGATTGAAAATGGCTTCCCCATTCTGAATGGCAACCACACGCCGGGTGGTGAAACTGCGCCCATCACGAATACGCTCAACCTCATACAGGACCGGTCGGGTGGTTGTACCCGCGCGAATAAAGTACCCATGCAGAGAATGTAAATGTACGCCTTCTACGGTGCGGTAAGCCGCCATAGCAGCCTGGGACAGTACCTGGCCACCAAACAGCCGCAGTGGCGTCGATGTTTCATTACTGCCCAGATACAGGTTCTGTTCAATCTTCTCCAGATCGAGAATTTCCAGCAGGCGTTTGGCACGGGCGTTGGCCACATCAGTCATAACAGGCACTCATTCACAGCGGTGGGTTGTATCCATTTTTTTCGGCCGTGATACTAAGCTTAAGAGAGGGAGACTGCCATGTTAGAACTAAATCCAGATCATGCAAGCATCACCATGATTGGTGCGCTGGATACCGATGTCAGCACGGATGGCATCACACCTCGACGCCTGCCTGACTGGACCCGTCCCCAGGTGCCGGCTTTTATGGAGATAATGGTGACCCAGCCTTCCGGGGTGCGTCTGGCATTTGCAACTGATGCAACCCACATCGAACTGGATGTCTGTCTGACCCGCATCCAGATGGCCAGCCGTACGCCGCGCACAGCTGTATTTGATCTGGTTTGCGACGGCAATCTGCAGCAATCGCATGCCGAAGACAGTGGACATGTGCTGCAGGTTGATTTGCGCAAACCCACACAACCCACGTTTGTGGCCGGCGAGCCGGGCACAGTGGTATTCGAACATTTGCCGGCGGGCATGAAGCGGTGTGAGATCTGGTTGCCTACCAGTGCTCAGGTCGCTTTACGAAAACTGCGATTCAACGAGATGGCCACCGTCGAAACATCCAGCGGCGAAGAAAAAAAACGACGATGGGTACACCATGGCAGCTCTATCAGCCACTGTGCAGAGGCTGCCAGCCCCTATCTGAGCTGGCCTGCGATTGCCGCAGCACAAAGCAATCTAAACCTCCTGAACCTGGGTCTGGGTGGCAACTGTCAGCTCGATCAGTTTGTTGCGCGCACCATACGCGATGAGCCTGCGGATCTAATCAGCTTAAAACTCGGCATCAACATCATTAACATGGACTCCATGCGTGAACGTACGTTTACGCCAGCGGTGCATGGCTTTCTGGACACCATCCGGGAGGGCAAACCGGACACCCGGATCCTCATTATTTCACCCATATACTGTCCCAGCGCCGAAACCGAGCCTGGACCGACCTTGCCCGACGCAGAGGGCAAATTTATTACCTTCCCGCGGCCAGCAGAAATCAGCGCCGGCGCGCTGACGTTAACCTGGGTCAGGAAAATCCTCTCTAAAGTGGTCGCCCAGCGTCGGGCTGCTGGTGATACAAACCTGCACTATCTGGATGGTTTACAACTGTTCGGGCCTGAGGATGCCGGTGATCTACCGGACGACTTACATCCAAACGCAGAGGGTTACATCCGCATGGGAAAACGTTTTGCACAGCTGGCATTTGGTCCTGACGGACCACTGGCTGACGCTTGAGCCGAGTATTTTCAAGGAGATAGAACATGCAGCGCTGGCCAAAAAAATTCCTGCAGGCATACAGTAAGCGACACCGCTACGACAGCGTTTCAGCAGCGTTCGATGACCTGAGCATTGCTGATGCTTACGATATTCAGCGTCAATATGTCGCGTTACGCGGTGAACCGATTACCGGTTACAAGGCTGCACTGACAGCCTCCGCAGGCCAAGCGGCCATGGGCATCGATCATCCAGTGGTTGGTGTACTGCTGGCAAGCGGCGCTTTCCCCGCCAACAAGCCTGTTGAGGCGCAGCAACAGATTCTACTGGAAACAGAAATTGCCTTTGTCACCGCTTCGAACATCAGCGCCCCTGTCACCGCTGATACGGTTATGGGCTATATGGACAGTTGCCAGGGTGTTGTTGAACTGGCTTCGCCTAATCTTGCCAATCCACCCAACGGTCTGGATCTGATTGCCACCAACTCTGCTTCGTTTGGTTATATCGAAGGGCAGCGCCAGGATATACCGGACAGCCACACCCTTGACGCGTTAGCAGTCAGTCTGGAAAAAGACGGTGAGGTTATGATGTCTGGTACCGCAGGGGAAGTAATGGGTGGTCAGGTCGAGGCTTTGTGCTGGCTCATCAACCAGACCCTTGAACTGGGATATACCATTGAAGCCGGTCATCTGCTGTTGACCGGCTCCATCGGCGGCATTTTACCCGGTCAGCCGGGCAGCTATTGCGCGCGTTACGAAGAATTGGGGCAGATTCATTTCAGCCTGCCTGCCACACCTTAATTAATTCGTCGTAAGGCACAGTTTCACCCTGGGGTTTTTCGTCTGCCAGCGCTGGCTTTGGCGCGCCAGGTTGCTGCAGCCAGAATTCAGGGTCCTGAGGCTCATTTAACTGCGGGCCACATTCACCCAGGACACCATGCCGTTCCAGCCGAGCCAGCACCGCATCCTGCTGTTCCGCCAGGCTATCCATTGCAGTTTGAGCCGTGACCTCACCGCTGACTGCATTGGCTACGTTCGCCCACCAAAGCTGTGCAAGCTTGGGGTAATCGGGCACGTTGGTGCCGGTTGGTGTCCACAGAGTTCTTGCCGGGCTGCGATAAAATTCAACCAGGCCACCCAGTTGCGGCGCCATATCCGTCATAGCCTGGCTGTTCAGATCTGAATTACGAATAGGCGTTAAGCCCACCAGGGTTTTCTTCAAAGACACAGACTTTGATGTAACAAACTGCGCGTATAACCAGGCGGCTTTGCGGCGTTCCAGAGGGGTACTCTTCATCAACGTCCACGCGCCGGTATCCTGATAGCCCAGCTTCATGCCTTCTGACCAGTAAGGTCCATGGGGTGAAGGTGCCATACGCCACTTCGGCGTGCCGTCCGCATTGACCACCGCAAGGTCGGGTTTAATCATGTCCGCGGTAAAAGTTGTGTACCAGAAGATCTGCTGGGCGATCTGTCCCTGGGCGGGCACAGGACCCGCTTCAGAGAACGTCATGCCGCCGGCTTCCGGAGGCGCAAAGCGTTTCAACCAGTCGATGTATTTCTGCAGCGCATAAACTGCTGCGGGACTGTTCGCCGCACCACCACGACTGACAGAAGAACCCACGGGGCGGCAGTCTTCGACGCGAATGCCCCATTCATCTACTGGCAGACCATTTGGAATACCGGGATCGCCAGCGCCCGCCATAGACAGCCAGGCATCGGTAAAACGCCACCCCAGAGAAGGGTCTTTTTTACCGTAGTCCATGTGTCCATAGACCTGCTGGCCATCAATCTCGCGCACATGTTCAGAGAAGAACTCGGCGATGTCCTGATAGGCACTCCAGTTCACCGGCACACCCAGCGGATAACCATAACGTGTTTCAAATTGCGCCATCAGCTCAGGATTGGTGAACCAGTCATAGCGGAACCAGTAGAGGTTGGCGAATTGCTGGTCCGGCAGCTGGTAGATTTTGCCGTCCGGCCCGGTAGTGAAACTGATGCCGATAAAATCATCAAGATCCAGGGTTGGCGAAGTGACGTCGGCACCCTCCCCGGCCATGAAATCACTGAGGGGCACCACGTAGCCATAGCGTGCATGTGTACCAATCAGGTCTGAATCATTCACGTAGGCGTCGTAGACATTTTCACCGGACTGCATCTGCGTCTGCAGTTTTTCGATCACATCCCCTTCCTGGATCAGATCGTGTGTCACCCGAATGCCGGTGATGTCGTAAAACGCCTGGGTCAGCGTGGTGCTTTCATATTCGTGGGTGGTTAACGTTTCGGAGACAACGTTGATCTCCATGCCGCGCAGCGCCTGTGCCGCTTCGGTGAACCAGGCGAGTTCTGCCAGCTGTTCATCGGTGCTTAGCGTAGTGGGTTGGAATTCCTCGGCAGCCCAGCGCGCTGCATTTGCCGCGTAATCCACCTGAGATTCAACAGAAGTCTCCTCAGCGGGTTGTTCAGAACACCCCACCGTTACGAAGAGTGAAGGGATAAAAAAAGCTGCTGCCAGTAGGTGCCATCGTTTCACGGTGTCTGTTCCATCAGGATCTTGAAAGCACCGAGTATAAAGAGGTTAGCCCCAGCGCATAAGTAGCACAGCCCACAACAGGGCCAGCAGTGATGCGACCCAGAGAGCACCGCCAATCATGCCCAACCAGAGCAGATGTATGAATGCCGCACTCAACAGGCTGATGAAAAACCGATCGCCGCGGGTTGTCGCCATCGGCAGAAAACCTTTCGCCAGGCGCGTCGGCGAACGCAGTTCGTAAACCGTCAGGACCAGCAGTGCAAGACCAATGGCCGAAAAAAACAGGGCTGTGGGTAGCGTCCAGGCCATCCAGCTCATGACACATCCCTCATGACACCCGCCCGAGCGCAAAACCTTTCACCAGGTCTTTACGCACAAACCAGACCACCAGGATGCCAGGCACCACCGTCAGCACGCCTGCAGCCGCCAGCACACCCCAATCCATGCCCGATGCACTCACCGTGCGGGTCATCACCACGGCAATAGGTTTGGTGGAGGCACCGGACAAGGTACGCGCAAGCAACAGTTCAACCCAGCTGAACATGAAACAGAAAAACAGCGTTACCCCAAGCGCGCCTCGATTAATCGGCAAAAAGACGCGGAAGAAAAAGTACAGGAAGCTGTGACCATCCAGCCGCGCCATTTCGTCCAGCTCCGTGGGCACGCCGGAAAAGAAACCTTCCAGGATCCAGACTGCCAGCGGCACGGTGAACAGACAATGGGCAAGCGCAATAGCCAGCGGTGTATCAAACAAACCAATCGCGGAATAAAGCTGGAAAAACGGCAGCAGAAAAACCGCTGGGGGTGCCATACGATTGGTTAACAGCCAGAAAAAAAGCTGCTTGTCGCCGAGAAAACGATAACGCGAAAACACATAGGCAGCGGGAATGGCGACACTCAGCGACAGCAGCGTATTCAGGCCTACATATGTTAACGAGTTTGCAAACGCCTCATACCAGACCGGGTTGGAAAATATTTCCGCAAAGTTCTGCCAGGTGGGTGATGCAGGCAGCACAGAAAACTCACCGGCAATCTCGACATTACTGCGCAAAGCCATAGACATCAGCCAGTACAGGGGCAGCAGCAGATACACAAGATAACCGCACAATATCCAACGGCTCGTATTAGTCTTCATTCTTGGCCACCACCGAGCTGTAAAATAACCAGCAGAAAAGCAGGATGAAGAGAAAGTAAATCACCGAAAAGGCCGCTGCAGGGCCAAGATCAAACTGGCCAACAGCCATGGTGGCCAGATGCTGGCTGAGCAGCGTCGTGGCATTGCCCGGCCCGCCCCCGGTCAAGACAAACGGTTCGGTGTAGATCATGAAGCTGTCCATCAACCGCAGCAGTACGGCAATGATCAACACGCCGCGCAGTCGCGGCAATTCAACATAACGGAATATCTGCCAGCGGTTGGCGCCATCCAGCTCGGCGGCCTGATAAAAAGGCTGCGGTATCGACGTGAGACCGGCAAACGCCAGCAGCGCCACCAGTGAGGTCCAGTGCCAGACATCCATCGCGACCAGCGTTACCCAGGCATGCAGTGGATCCGCTGTGTAGTTATACGTTATGCCCAGCGCGTTGATCGTCACGCCCAACAAACCGATGTCGGGTCGCGCAAAGATCTGCCAGATAGTGCCCACAACGTTCCACGGAATCAGCAGCGGCATGGCTAAGACAACCAGAATCAAAGGTGTCATGCGACTGTCTTTGGGTATACCTTTGGCCACCCAGATGCCCAGCGGTATCTGAATAGCCAGTATCGTCAGGCTGAACGCCACCTGCCGCAGAAAAGCCTCAATAAAGCGCGGATCGTTGAGGGTCTGCTCGTACCACTGCAGGCCAACAAAAAACCGGGTATTGAAATCCAGAATATCCTGCACCGAGTAATTAACGACGGTCATCAGCGGCACTACCGCGCTGAACGCAACAATCAGCACAACGGGTAACACACCCAACCACGCGCGGTTGTTCTGCGGCCTAAACGAACTCATGTGTACCCACCTGCTGCTCGTTACTGAACGCAACCCCGCGCGTCACCTGCACCTGCAGCTGCGCGCCGATCTGGCGTTGGGCAACTTCCGGCAACCGCCCGCGCACGATGACTTCGCCATAGGCGGTATCGAGCACCATCAAACCAGCCGCCAGACCTTGCTGAGCACCTTCAATCCGCACACGCTGCAACGTCCCGGTTATTTGACCTGATGTCGATAGCTGGGCCCATTCCGGCCGAAAGCCGATTCGCTGGGCGGTACTGACGCCCAACGCCTGCGCCGGGACAAAATTCATTCCCGGGCTGCCAACAAAGTGACCAACAAATTCATGTAGTGGCGATTGATAAACAACTTCCGGCGTATCCGTCTGCAGAATCCCGCCTGCCGTTAAGATAGAGACACGATCCGCAAAGGTCAGCGCTTCGGTCTGATCGTGGGTGACATAGATCATCGTCACCTGCAGATCTGCCTGTACACGCCGCAGGGTCTGTCGTAGCTGCCACTTTATCCGTGGCTCTACCGCGGTCAGGGGTTCATCCAGCAGGACCAGAGAAATATCCGGGCGCACCAGGGCTTTGCCTACCGCGACCAGTTGTTTTTGAAAAAGCGACAGTGAGCGGGGTTTCTGCGCAATCAGCGCACCAAGCTCAAGCTCGTCGCAGATATAGGCTACCCGCTCATCTATGACTTTCCGTGCAACACCACTGTTACGCAGCGGGAAAGCAAGATTTTCAGCAACGTTGAGGGATTCATACAACACCGGAAACTGGAATACCTGGGCAACATTACGCGCGCGACCGCTGAGCCTGGACACATCATCGCCGTTAAACAGTAAACGCCCGTCGGTGGGATGCAGAATACCGGATAACAAATTCAACAACGTCGTCTTACCTGCACCGCTTGCACCAAGCAGAGCATGCGCTTCGCCATCAGCGACGCTGAGATTCAGATTGCTCAGAGTCGCCTCTGCAGCCCCGGGATAGGTAAAACCAATTTGCTGTAAGTCCACCGCCGCCATTAGAACTGCACCACGTCACTGGCAGAGGCACCTACCTTAAGATGCTGGCCAGGCGTTATTCGTAACATGCCATCACACCGCATGACCCACTGCGCACCTTCTACTTCACCATGCACAAACGATTCGCTGCCATTGGTTTCGAAGGCGGACACCTGCATATCAAAGGTCACGTCTATGCCGCCATCCGTCACGCTGCGCAGATGCTCCGGTCGCAAGGCGCAGGTTTTAGCATCGCGCTGAAATACATTGACCCCTGGGTCAGCCATGAGCTGCATCGCAGCGAGGCTCTGGGGCCGCAGATACACATCCAGCGGTGCACCTGCCTGTAGTTTTGCACCCGCTGCGAGCAACAGCACCTCATCACCCAGGGTGAAGGCATCACGAGGGTCACTGCTGGTATAGATGACAACGGTATTGGTCTGGTGCAGCAGTTCCCGCAACTCTACCTCCAGCGCTTCACGCAGCTTGAAATCCAGATTCACCAGCGGCTCGTCGAGCAACAGTACCGGCGCCTGCTTGGCCAGCGCACGCGCTATCGCCAGACGCTGCTGTTGTCCACCCGACAGTTCGTGAGGAAAACGCGAAAGCAGTGGCTGTATCTGCAGCGTCTGCGCAAGCTCGTTAACCCGTGCGGCGATGGCATTTTTATCCATAGCGTTTTCACCACGTCGCGCCAGCAGCGGCGACGCAATGTTCTGTGCGACGGTCAGATTGGGATAGTTCACAAAAGCCTGGTAAACCATGCTGACCGGTCGCTTGCGAGGATCTACCATCTGCAGGTCGACGCCATCAAGCAGGACCTGGCCGCGTGCGTGTGAGTTCTGCCCGGCAACAAGGCGACACAAGTTGGTTTTACCGGACTGGTTTGCCCCCAGCACAACCGTAATCTGACCAGCGGCAAACTGATGATCAAAATCTGTCTGGCCATCCGCCTGGAGGTGCGCGCCTACAAGCTCAAGCAACAGGTGCTCTCCGATCTATCCATAACGGTTTTCATGGCCAAACGGATTCATTGCTGGTGCGCCTTCTTTGAAAAGTTTTAAGATGCTACACGGAGACAGCGGCATTGCCTACGCAAGCCCACCTTACAGCCCCGCATACGGTGCAGTACCTGGCGCCAGAGAACGGATATCAATGACTCAATTTATTCCAGATTCACTGCCCGACGAGGAGCCTGCTGAGGGGCCGGCCGGTCAGCTTGCTCACCCGGACGCCGTAGCACATACCCAGCGTTTATTACCCGCCATCTATCCTGTCGGCGACCGCGCCTGGTGTGTGGTCGGCAATGGCTTATCGAACCAGACTTTTATTGCCGGCGAGAGCGGCATCATTGCCATCGACAGCGGCGAGTGCGTCGAAGAGATGCGCGACGCGGTGAAACTCTTACGCAAACATACCCAGGCACCTATCGTGGCCTGCATTTACACCCACTTTCACTACGTGAATGGCACTCAAGCCTTGCTTGAAGACGTCGGCCCCGCCTACCTGGAAGTGTACGGACACCATCTGATCGAAAAAAATCGCGACCGTTTCGGCGGCGAAGTCAGCCCCAGATCCAGCCGTGGCCTGGCACACCAGTTTGGCGTGTTATTACCCGAAAACGGTGCTGACGGGCTGCTGCACTGCGGATTAGGACTGGAACTGCGTAATCCAAAACATGCGCCGTTCACTCCCGGCTATATCGCCGCCCAGCACAACATCACAGACGAGACGACACATACTATTGCAGGCCTGCAGGTTGAATTCAGCCCAGCACCCTCTGACGCCAATGACTCCATGACATTGTGGTTTCCTGAGCTCGGCATCTGTGTAAATAATCTGATCTGGCCGGCACTGTTCAATATTTATGCCATCCGCGGCGAAGAATACCGAGACCCGCGCGAACTGCTCACCGGCATCGATAAAATCGCCCAGCTGCAACCGGATCATCTGATCTGCACCCACGGGCCACCGCTATCCGGTACACCTGTCCCTGCGGCGGTAGCAGATTATCGTGATGCCATAGCCTTCATATGGGACCAGACTGTACGCGGCATCAACCAGGGGCTGCGTCTGAGCGCCCTGACCGAACAGGTACAGCTGCCCGGGCGGTTCAAAAAATCTTACTTCACACAGCAGCTTTACGGTCTGGTTGAACACCACGTACGGCAAATTCATTCGGGTTTGTTCGGTTGGCTGGACGAAGATGAAAGCCAAATCTTTCCAATGCCGGAGCAGGCGCGTTGTGAACGTCTTATAGAAGGTTTTGGTGGGCGCGCAACCGTGCGCGCCCAAGCTCAGGAGGCACTTAACGATGGCGATTTGCGCTGGGCGGCTGAACTGGCAACCTGGCTGGTGCGCAGCAGCGAGGTGACTCTCCCGGACCAGCAACTGCTGGCACGGGTCATGCGGCAAATGGCCCAGCGCACCCCTTCCGCCAATGTACGTAACTGGTGTCTGACCCGCGCGCTGCATCTGGAAGGCCAGATCGATATGAGTCGTTTCAACACCCACCGTTTTCGTTTTGATGACGTCATGTCCGCGACACCCACCCGCTATATCAGCGTGTTGCGGGTGCTGGTGAACCCGGAAAAAGCGCCCGAGGACACGATGGAAATGGCCTGGCACTTTGCCAGCGGCGAACAGGCGGGGCTTGCGCTACGGCGGGAGGTGGCGATGCCAACCGATGGCCGCGGGGCAGATCTGCACATCCACCTGAGCCACGAAACCTGGGCAAAAATCCTCAGCAATAAACTGAACCTGTGGGATGCTGAAGCACAGAATCTGATCTCTATGGCAGGTGACCCAACGCGGCTGACCTCGTTCTGGCAGACATTTGACCTGGCAAGCCTGCAGAGCAGCCGCTAAACGCAATTGCCCGCAGCCAGACTCGTTGCTTTCCTGATTGGAATATATTCCTTTTAAATTATTCCATTTAACCTAAGCGACCAGATTGGTATCTTGCCCGCCCTTTTGGCAACAACCAGATACTTAGGATAGAAAATATGTCTGCTTATCTTGATGAAATCGAACGCCTGCGCACTCAAATCAAAGCTAAAGATGAGTGGCATGCCATCAACCCTGAATACGCTGCGCGCATGAAGCTGCAGAACCGTTTCACCACCGGCCTGGAAATCGCGCAATACACCGCTGACATCATGCGTCGCGACATGGCCAACTACGACGCTGATTCCAGCAAGTACACCCAGAGCCTGGGCTGCTGGCATGGATTCATCGCCCAGCAGGTGATGATGGGTGTGAAAAAACATCAGAAAACCACCGACCGCAGCTACATCTATCTATCCGGGTGGATGGTTGCAGCATTGCGTTCTCAGTTTGGCCCTCTGCCGGATCAGAGCATGCATGAGAAAACCACCGTTTCTGACCTGATTGAAGAGATTTATACCTTCCTGAAACAGGCAGATGCACGCGAACTGCGACACATGTTTGTGGAACTGGACGAGGCCCGCGAAAACGGTGGCGACGTAGACAGCATTATTGCTCGCATTGATAACTACGAAACTCACGTTGTGCCAATCATCGCGGACATCGATGCCGGTTTCGGTAACGAAGAAGCCACCTACCTGCTGGCTAAGCGCATGATCGAAGCAGGCGCCTGTGCTATTCAGATTGAAAACCAGGTCTCTGACGCCAAGCAGTGTGGCCACCAAGCGGGTAAAGTCACCGTACCTCACGAAGACTTTGTTTCTAAAATCAACGCTGTACGTTATGCGTTCCTGGAGCTGGGTATCGAAAACGGCATCATTGTGGCGCGCACAGATTCATTAGGTGCTGGCTTAACCCAGAAAATTCCTGTGTCTCTGCAGCCTGGCGATCTGGGCAGCAAGTACAATGAGTTCCTCGACACCACCCCTGTAAACGATGTTTCTGAATTGCAGGACGGTGACGTCACTATCCACCAGGGCGGCCAACTGGCTAAGCCAAAGCGTCTGGATAACGGTCTGTACGCGTTCAAAGAAGACACCGGTATCGACCGCGTTGTGCTCGACTGTATCACCAGCCTGGAACATGGCGCTGACCTGCTGTGGATTGAAACAGAGAAGCCAAACGTTGCGCAGATTGCAGAAATGGTTAACGAGATCCGTAAAGTTCGCCCCGAAGCAAAACTGGTGTACAACAACTCTCCGTCTTTCAACTGGACCTTGAAGTTCCGCGACCAGGTGTACCAGGAGTGGAAAGCAGCAGGCAAAGATCTGTCAGCTTATCCTGATCCCACAAATGACGAAAAAGCGCTGATGGACGTTGCCCTGGACGATTCTGAACTGGCTATCGAAGCAGACAAGCTGGTGCAGACCTTCCAGGCAGATGCGGCGCGCGAAGCGGGTATCTTCCACCACCTGATCACCCTGCCGACCTACCACACGGCTGCATTGTCTACCGACATTCTGTCATCTGGTTACTTCGGCGACCTGGGGATGCTGGCTTACGTACGTGACGTACAGCGTCAGGAAATCCGTCGTGATCTGGCCGCGGTTAAGCACCAGGATCTGGCCGGCTCTAACGTGGGCGATGACCACAAAGAGTACTTCCTCGGTGAAAAAGCACTGCTGGCTGGCGGTACCGCCAACACCATGAACCAGTTCTAACGGTTCCAGTGGCTCAGCTGCTTTGGCAGCTAATAGGAAGGGGTGTTTCGGCACCCCTTTTTTTGGGCTGATTGTAGCGCCTTGTCATTCGCCCCGATCCTCAACATCTGCCAACACAGCTCGTGCCATTATCAGCCTGTCGTGCATGCGTCCCGGCATTTTTGTCCAGTAGTAGCTGAATGTGCCTAGCGCAATAGCCAGGGCCCAGGCACGACCGCGCAACCACGGAGCATCCTCTACACCTAGCCGGGTTCGAAACACCTCGCGACTCTGGTGATCAAACAGCTCCCATGCACCGTGTAGATCGATGGTTGGGTCACCCACAGCCAGCCCGCCAAAATCCAGCACCGCTGAGAGTCTGTCGTCTTTCAGCAATAGATTCTCTGCAACCAGGTCGCTGTGATACCAGCGGTCAGGTCCCACATCATCTGCGCCTGGCAACAATATTGAACGCTGCCAGACATCCAACACGGCGTCGAGATCAAGATCCAAACCCTCAATGGATCGGCAATCCTGAATTGTGCGCCGCATATGACGATCGTACTCGGCCAGCGACCGCCCTCTATACCAGCGTAAGCCGGGGTCAGTAGCGGCCGCCTCGGGAACTTCAATACCGCGGAGGGCAAGAATGACATCAGCCAGATCTGCAGCCAGCCCACGACTTTGCGCGGTTGCAACTTTTTTTAGCCCACAGGCCGGCGGCAACTCACCGTCAAGCCACCCAACAATCGACCACGACTCGGAATAGCCATATGCAGGCCGACCCAAGGCAACAATCTCAGGCACCGCAACCGACAGATGCCGCCTCAGTTCAGGCAGCCACCGTTTTTCTTTCTCGATCGCACCACCACTGCCGGGTTGGCGCGGCACACGCACCAACAGATCTTTTCCGAGGCGATACAATACGTTAGACGAACCCGAAGCATGCAGGCGTGTGAGCGGCAATCCGGCGTACTGCGCAAACTCCGCAAAGACGAGCTTAGAGACCAGATCGTCATCTATTCGAATTTCATCTTTATGGAAAATAATATTCATCAGAGCAACAGCAAAGGATCAGCTAAAACATTGTGTTAGCGTTTTGTGCCGCTGCCGGGATCACCTGCAGAACATCCCAGTGCTCGACAATTTTGCCGTTGTCATCAAAACGGAAAATATCGATACCTGCATAGTCCAGATTACCTGGCCACTCCTGATGACAATGCAGGACAACAAACTCCTCTTCCGCCACCACACGCTTGAACGTGACGCGCTTACCGGGAAACTCGCGGGCCATACGCTCAAAGTATTCAATGAAGGCCACTTTACCATCCGCGACTTCCGGATTGTGCTGAATATATTGGGC